AACCCAACAGCCATTACTGTCAGGTCAAAGTCATTAGTATTCAACTGTCAGATGTTTCTCCAAGAAATAATGCACTGCTTTCACAAGGGAAACATTCAGGGATGGACTTCAAGTGTATGCAGCCTTTTTGGAGACATGAGAATGGTGGAACCTACGTGTGCAACTCAGAACAACTCCCATACCAAGGAATCTATCTAGCCCTTGTGCCTAAATCCCACTGCTTAGCACTTAAAGGCTTTTAAGCACTCACAACACCAACATAAAACTCTCAGAAAGGAACAAAAACACAACCAAGAGCTTTTATTGACTACCTCCTCTGCAGGCATTCGGTGGTAAGTAAGTAAAACAAGGTCTTTTTAAAAAACTAAGAAAGTGTTAGGTGCCTAAGACATGTGGAGGGCCAAAAGAAAGTTCATGAAAGAGAGATTAATAACGCCAAAGAGGAAACTAAGGTTTGGCACCCATGATGTTATGAAACAATTAGCTCACTGCAGGTCTCAATTTCTATTAAGTTCAAAATCGAACAAGGGTGGAGTACTCCTCATCACTGCGTGCGTAGGTTTAAATTTGCAAATACAGCTGGGGGAAAACTAAATTTGCCAAGTTAGTCTTTTGGAGGAGTTTCCTTCTTCCTAAGGTTCTTTCCAGAATTCAGATAGTGGCACTCGGTAAATGGCAGTATCAGAATACAACTTGGCAGGATGACGGAGTCAGTCCCAAAGACGCATACTTCAACTCATTGACATCTGATGTGTCAGCAGTTATTAATAAAATTAGACAACAGTACTGGAATTCCATTTACTTAAGAATATGGAGAAAAGTAATCTCTCTGCAGTTTTTTTTTTTTTTTTTTTTTTTGGCCTGTAAAATGAGGATAGTACCTACCATAAAAAATGATGTGAGACTTAAACGAGGTAACAGTATGAAGAGCCTGGCACAGAGCCGGCACTCTATCTATCCCTGTCTGGGCCTGCTGGGTTGCCGAAGCCCTGGTGGGCAATGATCACCACTCCTGTGCACAGAAAGCTCCTCTGCGGAAGCAAGTCACAGTACCACGATGCTCAGCAATGCTGGGTCTTACTCGGCTTTGTTAGACACTACTTGACTTGCGTGAAAGCTTCTTCCTGCTTACATATTTTCCAGTGTTCACAAAGCATTCACCACTGCTTATCATAAATCTGATTCTAGTGGTTCATAAATCATTCTGAGCCTCGTCCTTAGACACAGAAGCCTTCCAAACATATATAAATAGCACTTGTTCTGAGGCACTATGGGTTGGCCTCAGGAAATTCAGAAATAAATATTGAAGCTGTTTATGACAATATAAATTTGCCTTCTCAGCAGTATACATCCTCTCTAATCTCCTTCTTTGCACACAAAAAATCTTCTGCTCCATCTGGCTTTTCTCTTGTGCCCAGAAACACATAACTCAGCCTGCAAAGATAGAACATATAACCATATCTTTTTTTTTCCACAACACCTGACTTTTTAGGTTAATTTCCAAACTTTGGAAGACAGTAAATAATCTTTTTGTAAAGACTATTTGTATACTATTTCTTGATCTATTAAACAGAACAATTAAGATTAGAACTTTAAAACCCATATATACCGGTTTTTCAAAAAAAAAAAAAAATATATATATATGCCACATAGGGGCACCTGGGTGACTCAGTGGGTTAAGCCTCTGGCTTTGGCTCAGGTCATGATCTCAGAGTCCTGGGATCACGCCCCACATCGGGCTCTCCGCTCAGCGGGGAGCCTGCTTCCCCCTCTCTCTCTGCCTGCTGCTCTGCCTACTTGTGACTTCTGTCTGTCAAATAAATAAATAAAATCTTTAAAAAAAAATATGCCACATCGTTTCGTATCAGGCACTTACCTGATACGAAACGATGTGGCATATTATCTCCATAGAGAAAGCAACCACCATAATTTTGTATGATCAAAGGGGAGGGAATGGCATTTACAAAGTCAGGGTCTTAGAAACAAGTTACTTAAGGCACCTGGGATTCAGATAATCAAACAGTGTGCTTATTTTATTTAATGTAGGTGCTCTCTCTGTATGAGGTACTAACTACTCGGCACATAGAAGGCACATGTAATTACACTCAGCCATTCACAGATGTTGCTTTCCATTACAATATTCTGAGTATAGGTTTGCTTTTCTTCTCAGAGTCTTAATATCTACCACTGATTAACTACTGATGAAGTACTCCTTTACAGTGGAGGTCTCTTTGGAAAGGGGTTCTACTCTCGGGTTTGTAAGCATGAGTGGGCCCTGTTTAGTGGAAACCAGAGTTGCTGCTTCACAGGGGCTGACCAAGCAGTTTCAGTAATTTTTTCCAGCTCATTTTGGACCTAGAAAATTTTGGCGAATGTAGAATAACAGAATGCTGCCATTAGAAATCTATCTCAAGACCCCTACTTTACAATTTTACATAAAAATTCAAGGCCAAGACATAAGACTTACCCAGTTACATATCCATTAAATATGGAAACCCAGATTGAGTCACCCTACTTAGGTTTTATGAGTATGATTTAATGCAGTTCTTTTAAAGAGAATGAGTGAAGTATTTGATCAACTATATGGTGACACCGTGCACCAAGCAGCGTGTTCAGTGAGCATACCTCAGATACTATTACAGAAATAAACTGCCACATGTTCTTAAGAGTCAAATGCTTAGGACATTTGTATTTTCACAGTAACCGTTTTTAATAACTCATCATCTTTATCTGATGACCACTTTTCTGGGCAACAATTAAGACGATAATCCTCAATTTCAGTGATCTAGTGAAATTCGAATTCAAAGGAATGTGTATTCATTTTACCAATATACACAGTGAGCAATGCACTCATTTTCTATGCAGCCATAACAAATTACCACAAACTTAGTGGCTTAAAAACAACATAAATTTATTATCTTACAGTTCTGTAAGTCAGATGTCCAACATGGGTCTCAGCAGGTCACAATCAAGGTGACCGCAGGGCTGTTTCCCTCTCTGGGAACTCCACGGGAAAAAAGCTGCCTTGCTTTTTCCAGTTTCTAGAGCCTGCCTTTAGTCCATGGCTGGAACCACCTTCTTCCATCTTCAAAGCCAGCAGTGTCGAACCTCTGACCTTCCACTGTCACTCTTGGAAAGTCTCTCCACGTTTAAGGACTTCTGTGATTAAATCGGGTCTCTTCAAATAATCCAGGATAATTCTCCATGTCAAGGTCACATCTGCATAGCACCTTTGCCACATACTCACAGGTTCTGGTGCTTAGGGCATGACATGTTTGGGGAACCATTATTCTGCCTCCCATATAAGCAGAAATAGCAAGATAAACATTTTTTTAGTGCCTATCTTCTCTTCAAAAAAATTAATATAATTTAAATATGTTTTTATAATAGGTACTATATACAGGGGAAGTATGTAGCCTAAATGAACTTTTGTACTAATTCAAACTCAGGAGAGATGATGACATGCAAATTATCTCAACACTCCAGTAATGTAATATGAAACCCAACCCCTTTTCCAAGGGATACTCCAATTCTAATTATCCCTCTCCTGGCATGACATCCCTTCATTAAAACAAATACGTATTTTCAATTCTAAACTGAAAATATTAAAAAAGGATTTCAAATGTTTCATGACAGCTGTTTGTTAAAGAGACCCTACTCTTAAGTTTGCTCAAAACATTTTGAGGTCTGAAGATAATTTAGCATTTATTTTAAAAAATCATAGTTGTACAAGATTTTTTTAAGGTAAATTAGAATTTAAAACACTGCTATTCAAAAACTTCCTATTTTAGTCAGCCCAAAAGAGGAAAAAGCCCATTATTACACAGCAAGGGGACAGCCAGACACCTTGAGTGGATTTTCAGAGCAACAGAGCTTAAGTGACTCTATTTTCAAAACTAAAAATAAGATATATACTCTAAATAAGGGAATTTACTGACTTTTTTTTTTACATTCTCTGTATAAAAAGTCTTAAAAAATTCATATATGCAGAGATCACTGTACTTATATCTGATACACAAATGTATCTTTCTAATGGAAAAAATCTAAACCAAACAAAAAAACCTCTCTTGCAAATTGACAGTCAGTTTATAAGCAGCAGCTTATAATATTGATATTATAATTATATATATATATCATATATATGTATATGATATATATATATATATATATCTACACATGGGCATCTGAGAAGCTTTCTATCCATTGGCAACTAAAGTGGAAGAAAGGAAGACCTGTAGAGAGACAAGGGTCAACTATGCCAAAATAAAGTTCCACATTTTTTAAAGTGTGCAAAAATTGAAATAGATCTGCAAGTCCCTCTGACTCATATATAAAATATCCTTCATTTCTGTGTTCCTATAAAATATCCCCCAAACAAGCTTTTCTATGAAACCAAACATGTATCTTTTCATATTCACATATTACACATCAGTAAATATTTACCTAATGTTTCAGAGTAGTTTATTTATTTATGCTAGTTTAGGTGACCGAATCTTTTAATTCCCTTAATGCAGAACCTGAGCATTTCTGCCCAATCCTGTTCTGTGTAGATTCCCAAATGAAAGGAAATTTGTTGACTCATTTTATAAACTGAAAAAAGAGCATAGCATTTTAAACTATGTTTTGTGTTTTGTTTTTTTTTTAATTCTGACCAGACATTAATGCAAGGGACATTCTAGAAATATGGCAAGTGACCCCGAACAAAGAGATTGTGTCCTGAAAGTTTACTCATAAGCTGGAAGATATTTTTCCCATGGAAAATGGTTATTAGATGTCTAGCTGGACTACAAACACCTAATTAATCAACAAGAGCCAAAATGTGGATAGAAATTAGCAAAAATGCACTATAATTCTCAAAGAAATACTGAATATGAATGCTAAATATTGACGCTTCTGGAAATAACTTTTAATGTAATTTCTCTAAACTTACATATAAAATGAAGGGAAATTTTGCCTACTTTAAAGTTCCTAGAATCTGATAATATTGATTGCATTTCAGGTTTTTCTTTAAGCATGCTGCTTAGCACTTTTCCTTTACTTATTAATATTAAATGACAATGTATAAAACACTTAACAAAGGTCTGGCATGAAGTAAGCTCTGTAAAAATTGTACATTTGTGATTTGAGCCTCACAGTAACCAGGCAGGAGTCTTAAGAGAAGATAACAAAGAGAGGATGTATGTACATCCATGCAAAAAAAATTACCTGAGATGGTATGAACTATAGTGTTTTTGAACCTTCCTGTCTAGAAAACCTGATTCTGAGGTTCTCAGAGGCTAGAACTAGGCAATTTAGTCAAAAGGTTGCTCCTTGGCTACAGGCCTGGGGCAAAGCCTAACCAAGTCCACACAGCAGGAGAAAGTAACCTTGTGAAGCACGTGACACCCCAGAAAGCAGATGGAAAATAAGAACTGACTCATAAGCATTTAAGCAGATAGATTCAGTCCATCCTGGGGTAAAGGCTAAAGTGCTTTCCAGAGGAAGCAGGAAGGCACAGGCACCAGAGAGGCACAGACAACCTTTTGCAGCTCATCTCTGGCTAAGTCTGTGGGCCAGGCTGTTGAAAGCACTGAATCGGTTGGGCAGTTGTGAGGATAAGGAAGAAATGGGCAGAGAATGGCAAGTGCTTGATCCTGTTAAAGAAAAAAGTAAAGGGAAGAATCATCAACGGGTTAATCCAGTGGTTCACCAACCTGAATGAACATTAGAATCTCTTAGGCATGCCTCCATAATGCAGAGCCCTAGGTCCTTATCCTTAAAGATTCTGATTGTATAGGTCTGAATGATGACAAAATTCAGCCGAATTTGGTAATACACCAAATTATAGTTAGTTCAATAGATTAACCTTTGGAGTGAAATTTAATTACAGAATATTATCAATTTATATTATCTCACAAAATAACACCATAAAGCTGATTTAGAAAAACTATATACATAAATTGTACAACCAACACATTTACATACAACGAATAATAAATGTAAATATCTGAAAATATTTTTTAAAACCACAAATCCAAAGTAAGCAACATACAGTTTTTTCAGAGATATAAAAAGTTTTTTGAAAAACTAAAATAGGTAAATGTGTTTTCAGGTTTTAAAATTTGAAATGTAGAAATTATATCTGATATTAATCAATAAAGAAAATAAGACACTATGTTTTTTCTTATTTCAGAAAGTTCAAGTCTTTTTGTCATAATTGAAGAAATTGCATGATCAATTAAACACTGTCAGCATTATTTTCCAAAATTTTCCATTGATTTTTTTAATGTAGCCATACACCTGAGTGTTTTGAACTATACAAACATATCCACTAGCAGTCTAAACTCACCAACATTTACATTATACTTCTTCAACAGAATCTGAGATGAACCACTAGTAAAACAGGCTCTAAGATTATTCAGATGTTATGATGAGTTGGTCTACTGAACTCCAGAATTCATAGAAGAAATTATATCTTTCAATTTATTTTTTAATAAGTAAAATTCTGCACCATGCTCATCTGCTTTTACATATTATTTGGAAAATGGCTATTAAGGCTTTATTGTAAAGGGGTACAAAAAATATTACTATGCAAAATGCAAGATGGAGAAAAGAGTGGTTTACAAATTACTGATGAACACCTAAGGGAATCATGTTTTTTCCTTTCATTATGGGCTTCTCAAAATCAAACATACTTTTCAAATTAAAGTCATATTAAGAGTTGTTGAAAAATTAAACCCCTAGCTTAAGAACTTAAATGTCCTTAGATTTAAAATAGGAATGGATGATTATAACTATGGTTTTTTAAAATGTTGCTTTGGGGGAAAGTCTTGATTCATTGATTCTTTCTAGTAACTTTTTCTTTGCTTGCTTACTATAAAATAACATACTATTACTGTGAAGACAATTTCTGATTCAGTTCCAATGCTCTTGTATCTCCATGAGTTTTGGCATTGTTTACCAGCACCTATGGGAAATCACATATAGGAACATTAGTATTTTGTTAATTAGCAATAACCATATTTAAATTCATAGAAGCCAAGTATGCCACAAGGCAGCAAGCAATATCAAACAACACAAGAAAAAGTGACTATTGTGAAATCTTTTCAGTCATTTTTGCTGAAATAAATTGTTTGGCCAAAAGCAACATCAAAGATAAGCACAATTTATTCAAATGCTCAATTAGTACAAATGTAACATTTTGACTGCTACCCTTCTGTATAAAATGGAAGTGGGGGTTTTGGTTACAATACTGTCATCTTTAAATCCTTATCCGAAAGACCATTTCATACACAGAACTGTGCAAGTGACACTCTTCTCCTTTATTATTATTTTTTAAAAGATCTTTATTATTTATATGAGAGAGAGAGCGAGGGAAAGAGAGGAACATGAGCGAGGGGTGGGGGGGGTGAGGAAGAGGCAGGCTCTCCGCTGAGCAGGAAGCCCGATGCGGGGCTCCATCCCTGAAATCTAGGATCATGACCTGAGCTTAAGGCAGACACTTAACCGACTGAGAACCAAGGTGCCTCAATACTCCTTTCCTTTAAAACTGAAGCTTAGAATTGAGGTTCCAGATTCTAGGCTCTATCAACAAGCTTTGCAAGGTTTTCACCAATTCCATAGAATGTAAGATTTAATTTCAGTTGCTCAATTGACTAATAAAACTTTTTGGTTGTTCATTTTTGAACACTGTGAAGGGTCTGAGACTTTGCTTTACTTGCAAGATAACAAGTCAGCCTGCACAACTTCATGGATACTGCCAAAAGACATGATTCTCCTGGGTCAGAGACAAAGGTCTTTACCACTCAGGGTACAACAAACTTTGAGCATCAAGACATTTACACTTATTCCCCTTGGTCCTAAGACTCACATAGGTGACAGGGTTGCTAGTATACAGATTCCCACATCTGTACTGGTTTGCATTACAAGAGAGGAACCCTGAGCCCAGGAGACCTGAATCTTTTATATGGGCCAACCCTTTACTCTAAAGGGAGACACTTATGTCTGTCTCCCAAGGCTCACTATAAAAACATCCTTGAAAAGACAGTCTGGAACAAAGAGCAGTCAGGCCATCTGCTCACAGAATGCTTAGAAATCCAAGGAAAGCATGGAAAACTGTCTCCAACAAACTGTCTCCAACACAAGTTCTATCTTTTTGATTTGCAATACATTAATTAGAATGCCTTTCTCCAAGCATTGCTTTTGTTAATATTTCTTCAATGCTGTTTCACTGAAAAGCAAACAGTATTTCAAGTGCTTTAGATATTTAAAAAGCTTCTCATTAATATTCATATTTTGTAAAAAGCTCAAGTTATGAGAATCTTAAACTATTTTAAAAAGAATTTTAGATACACATTCATACGTTTATGTACTTAGATACCAGAGCCAGCCCATGAGGAGCAGAAACTGTCACATGCATCTTATAGAAAAGACAGGTAAACATAATTTCCAAAGACAATATTAAGATCCCATTAAATCCTGCTACTTCCAAACCTACCCTATATATTATACCTCCAGTTCAATGGTCATAAAAAATACCATAACCAGCACCTAGCACCTTTGTCTAACTTTCTTATTCTACATAGCACATCAGGAGAATGTATTTCCTACAGGCTAAATCAGTGGTTCTTAATGAGGGGCAATTACTGTTATCATTTGGCATATCTAAAAACATGTCTGGCTGTCACAAGTTGGGTGGCGGGAAGAGGAGAGTGCCACTGGCACCTAGCGTTTGGAGTGGTTGGGAATGCTGCTAGATATCCTATAATGAACAGAACAGCAACCTTCACCACCACCCCCCAAACAAAGGTCCAAAATGAAATATTGTGAATAAAATCAACGCCTTACATCAATAAGCTCGTAGTCATTTTTGGCATGTAAGTGTCTCAGTAGATACCAACGTGCGGTTGATACAATAGACTTGGGATACCCAGGCTGATACACCACTCTTTCCAAAAGTCGCCGTGTCTCTCTGAAAAAGATACTTATATTTAGTCCAAAGCATCTAAGTTAACATATTTCTTCCTCTTCTTGTTTAAGATTTTATTTATTTATTTGAGAGTGAGTCAGTGAGAGAGGGAGAGAGAGAGAGAGCATGAGCAGGGGGAAGGGACAGAGGGACAGGGAGAAGCAGACTCCCTGCTGAGCAAGAAGCCGGATGTGGAACTCAATCCCAGGACACTGGAATCATGACCTGAGCTGAAGGCAGAAGCTTAACCAACTGAGCCACCCAGGCGCCCCAAACATATTTCATATAATAGTCTCACACAAGTTATCTTTCTCAATCTTTTGCATACATGGTACTGATTCCTTCATGAATTTTTTTTTCATAGACTAAAGGTAGTAATAATGGCTAATAATTATTAAGTGTTTATTATGTGTTGGGTACTACACTAAATATTTTACACATATGGTCACATTTAATATTTGTAACCTTGTAAGGTTAGGTTGCTGTTACTATTCTCATTTTATTTTGCAAATAAGTAAATTAAAGCTCATTCCAAGTAGAAGAGGGGAAGGCTCCTATTTTATGAGCACTTCTGAGTGCTCTACCTGTAATCCTTTTTGAAAACAGACCTGAAAACAAATCCATAAAGAATACAAAGATAATCTACACCAGACTCAACGTGTATAATATAAAGCTTTTTAGTATATGCCTTAATGGATGTGTACAATATGCAAACCCTTGTAATAAAAGGATGATTTACAATTGTGTTCTAATTTTTTCTTTCCTTATTTACTAACATCCACGACTCCAGAGACTTCCATACTAATAGACACAACACAAATTGTGGTAACTTCAGAAGTGCTGAATAGGAGGATTTATAAATAGTAATTGGTTTGAAGCAGAAACTAAAGAACTTGTCTTGAAGATGTTTCTACATAGGAATCTTCACACAGTAAGCACGCTGTTTTTTTCTTTGCGTGTGTGTTGATTTGGGTCTATTTTTTTGTGGTGATAAAAATTATGGGAGGTGCTAACAGATTTTAGGGAGGTAGAGGTTAAGGCCCTCTAAGTCATCCACTCTGAGCTTCCGCAGAACGAGTTCATTAGGACGTATAAACTACAGCCCAAAACATTTCTGGGTGAAATGAGCCATACAAAAAACTGACCAAAAGTAAATAAATAACAAATGCTTCTGGAATTGCTGATTAGCCACAGCCTTAATTCATCCTTCACTCTTATTTTGGGATGCTGATGTGACCTTTGCCACATACTTATATGTATTAAGCTCTTTGTTTACAATATCTATCCTGTTGCAGTAACATAATGCTCCTAAACCACTGTTTTACTTACAGTTGCTCTGTATTATGTGTAATATCCATTAAAGTTAGATATTATTCTCAGAATTTTAAAATATTCTTGCTTGTTTTTTCACCCATACGAGCTTTAAGTAATTTTTTTTTTCAAATTTATTTCTGACTCCACTGCCACCCTCCAATGAAAAGATCACTGAAATTTGTATATTTTAATCTCAGAAGCTTTGGGATTTTCTAGATAGAAAAACCTCATTACTTATAAACAACTGAAGATATGTTTAATAAATATAGTGCTTATTGGAAATAAAGAAAAAATTGGTTTTTTTTTTTTTTCAATATTCACTATTTTTTTTTCCATAGTTGAGTACCTTGCATGAACGTAAGTCAATCTAGCTTTGAACTTCAGTATTTTTTATCTTGTTTCTGGCATCCACATTACACTGATGGTGCACCTGAAGACAGCAAAACTTTAAGCCCTTCTTCACCTACAATGCTATCATGCCCACTCTCTCATATTCTTTATCTGTGTCCCAAATTATTTTTTGTAAAACAAATGTGAGACTTTACTTTTTTCATTATTTGGTTACTTCAACAGCCTTTCCAAAGTAGTAACGGATATATATAACACCAAGTTTGTTACACTAACTCTAAATCTTTGTTTCCTTGAGGAACTGAAAGTGAAGAAACATATCCAAGAAAAAAAAGTGAAAAAGAATTGTTCATACCTTGCCCCCATTTTGCGGTTGAATTGTAACAAGGCTTGTAAAAAGACAGCCAATGGACAAAAACAAAGTTTTAAGGCCTCAGTTGTAGCTTCTTGAACCAAAGATGACCAGTGATCACTGGAAATATTAGCCTGTAAAAATAAAAGGCATATATTAAATAGAGACTTTCAACATGTTTACCTTAAAAGAATGAAATTCAACTCTCATTTATTAAGTGCCTACTTGTCTGAGTCACCATGTAAATGCGATAGAAGCCATGGTTCTGCAAAATGATTACAATCTGATTCCTGCTCTTAAAGAGCTACAGAATAGGGCAGACTGGAAAAAAAGAAAGTTTCAAAGAGGAATATCACTTAAAACACTAAAATATTTCTTAAAAGAAAATGCACTATTCTACTATACAGGTGAATAAAATCTATTAGTCACTAAGCCTCTGGGATCTACCAAGTATACAAAGTTCAATTTAACGTGACCCTTTAGTGGTTGTAATAAAGTCCCACATTTCAAAAATTATCTAAGGAGAGAAAGCTGAAATTAAATATTTTAATAAAATCCCAAAATAGAAAAAAAGGTACAAAGCAGATCACAGATAAATCAACTCATCAATATTGAGAACTTTTTAAAGAATTTCACTTTATAAGGAAAATGTTAAGGTATCTATCTACATATCACTTATGTTGCAAACTTTAGTTTTTTACATATACTGACTCAGAAATAACAGATAAGTGTGTTCCTAATGAACAATAACATGAAGATAAAATTATGAATAGTCTGCTAAATTATGCTAGAAGAAAAAATGCACTTAAAATCTTTCATTAAAAACCTCAAACTTTCATTAAAAACTAAGATTTCATATTTACAGGTATCTAGAGTACACATTTTAATAAAGTCAATAGGATGAGTCCATTTCAAACACTAAATTATAAACAAAATTTAGAGCAATAAACTGAGTGCAGTACAAGCAATAATAATGTATGTAATCAAGAAAGAGAAAGCTGTAAAGACAAAAAATTTGAAAATAAATTGTAAGGCATCTTCTATAAAGATGGAAGCAATGAGACCTCAGGTACATTTGGCAAAGAAAAAAAGGCAAAGCCCAAAAGTAGTAAGTAAAAAATAAATAAGTAAAAAATACATTTTTATTTTTTATATATATTTTTTTAAAGATTTATTATTTTTTTTTATTTTAGAGTGGGTAGGGGGAGCAGAAGGAGAAGGAGGGCAAACGAATGTTAAGCAGACTCTGTGCTAAGCACAGAGCCCGACAGAGGGCTCCATCTCACAATACCTAGATCATGACCGGAGCCAAAACCAAGAGTCAGACACTCAACTGAGTCGCCCAGGCGCCTCATTCCTAAATATTTTTAAAAACCAAGAACATGGAACTCTCAGTGGTTGCTTTTATAATGTACTCTCCTATAAAACATTCTGTAAAGTTAGTTCAAAGATTATTATATAAGGAAAAAGTTTCTGTATGTACCTGGTATACTAAACAACAGAAGACACATTTTTGTCTTCCATTGTGTCTTTAAAATTTACTATATGAGGAAGCACTTCTCCTCTGTCCCTGGATGTATGTTATAGTAGGCTCCATGATTCTGATACCTATTTTTCTTAGAGTCATCAAAAACAATTTTAATTAGAATATCTTCTTCCTTTCAATACTTCGAACTTCATTCAAAGGTAGTATTTGCACCCTGCTCCAACAGCTCCCAGATAGAGTATGGTTACAGAGAGCAGCAGATGGCTTGCTCCTTGTCCCAACACACATCTTTTCTTGCTAATTGTAGCTTAAGACAGCTACTGAAATGCCAGAAGTCTGTATTTGACTGATGCCACTCTATGAGGATACCTTGCTCTCTAGGCCTGATAGATATTTCAATCTCCTTTTCTCATCCAGGCATTCCTGGCTTTATCAGAGACTCCTAATTTCATGGGTGGTCTCTCACCGGCAGGACCAGCTATGTAATCTGTGGGGGCCCAAAGCAAACTAAAAATGCATGGCCCTTTGTTCAAAAATAATGAGGAATTTCAAGATGGTGACTGGAGAGCATTAGACCAAGTGTGGAACCGTGAGCAACTGCACACGATGCACGCTGTGAGGCAGTCCTGCTCATCTGCAGCCCCACTAACCTGGACAACTGTACTCTATTTCACTTACTGCCCACACCCTCTGAGCAATCTGGAAGCTCTAGCTTCCTTTTTGCCAAGATCCCATCACTCCTCCAGGTGGCCCTACTGGATAGGAACTAAGGCAACTCCGATGCCGATCCATTTTCGCACTGGCACCACTCGTTCCAACAAACTCTAGGAGTGCCACCAAGCCCACGTCATAGCAACTCTCCTTCACTCCCTCCATTCTGCACCCAAGCATATACTCCTACCCACCTCTGGGATTTACCCACTGCAGACCGCTCTCTGCCAGGGCATGTGCTCACTTTCCAAAATACTCCCTTTTCCTCTGTCCTAACACAGCAGGTGGAGAGCCACAAGCTTCTGACGTTATGTCATTACCTGTCCATGTGCTTCTAGACATGTGCCTCCAGAACCTCAGAGGCCACACACCAAAACCTCCCTTTCTCTGACAGAATCCAGACAGATTCTTTTATTTATTTATTTATTTACTCTTCGGCTGTTTATCTCATAAACCTTGGAGGATGAAACTCAACTGTGCACAGAATGAAAGCAAAAATATATGCTTTCTCCCTTCCTCACCTTAGTGGGCATCTGTGTGTGGAAATGTGCCACAGAGATGGGGGACAAACAGAATAGCTCTTTCCAAAAAATTTTTTTCATAATCCTCCAACTTCTAATCCTTTTACAGCTTCCTTATAGGCTGGGCTTCTACTCACTTTAGAAGTCTGTACCTTGATCTTATATCTCACTTTGGAATCTATTATCTCTGAAATCTAGTATTTAATATCTCAGCTGAACCTCTCAGCTTAATATCCTATTTACATATTATAACACATATAGGAGCCTCTCATAAAAGTATAATTTTACTCTACTTTTCCTCTGTACACTGCCAGCTGTTTACCCTAGAAATATGACATCTCATATTCTTTCTTAAATGGCTTAACTTTTCACACATAGCAAATGGTAGAACCAGAACCCAAACTATTAGAGAAAATACTTCTTGTTGTTGTAGTGGGTGGTGGGAGGAGATGGGTGTATTACTACACTGCGAGCTGATTTCTTCAACTGTCAAACAGGATTACTATGCATATGAAATAAGTTAGTATGTGTCACACATACATACACTCAAATAGAGTATCATATACACTATTCGACAGTTTGCCCCCCCAAAGCACACACACACTTAAACATTTATCTTAAAGAGTTTTCATACTAGTACTGACAACTTCTAGAATATACCTTTGTATCAAAATACAGATGTTAAATCAAAAATTGCTAGAAGTCCTTCTTACAGAATGTCAAATTTAACTGAGAAATGACTGAAATGCTAAATCACTGGCACCTTTCTCACAGATGAGTACCTAGGTTAATTCTAATTTATCAACAGATAACAATTATATACATTCTGCTATAATTCAACTTTTAAATTGCAATCTTTGTTTTTTTTTTTTTTTCCTTCCCCAAACAATGACAACGTTCTGTGGGATCTATGGATTTACATTACTCTTACTTCCATCAAAAGCCCAAATACAAAGTCTATGAGGAGGCCACAAGAGAAGGTGATGAAACAACAGGAACTCAACAGGAAGCACTATCATCTTAAAGAAAAACAAAAGAATCAGTTTTTCATGATCGTAATTATAGTATGATCTTACCATGCAGGCTTTTAAAGCAAGAAGGGCTAGTCTCAACAGACTCGACAGCTTCCCACTCCAACTGCCCTGTTGGGATGCTACTTGCAGGCTCTTTCTATAACACATTTCTGCAGCACCCATCATTCCTTGGGACTGATAAATGTGTGCCAGCCACTGAGGAACAGAAAGAGAATAGAACCAAAAAATTTTTAATTTTGTACATAGTCTGGTACTCTACTTCCAAGAAATTAAATACACTTTGATGAAGCTAAATGTTTAATTTAATTATTGGTAAGTTTTGTGCCACCCCCCCCCCCCGCCCAATTCAAAAATCACAGGTTAAGAAAGGAGTAGACATCTTGCCCATAGTATCAGCAATAGCTCACTGGCCATACCACTTGAAAATGTTGAAGAGTCTTCCATGAACAAAATCAAAATGGAATGTAAAAACAGATATATCATGTAAATACTGATCAAAAAGAAACTTGTATAGCTGTATTAACCTCCAACAAAGTAGACGTCAAGACAAGAAATACTCAGAGCTAAAGGGGTCTCTTGTAATGATGAGAATCAATTAATTGGAAGATATAACACTGCTACATTTGTATTCACCTAATATAGACACAGAATTTATGAAGCAGAAGTTGGCAGAAATAAAAGAAAAAAAAACCACTCAAATGCAGAATCGAAGTTAGAGATTTTTATTTATTTATTTATTTAAAGATTTTACTTATTTATTTGACAGAGAGAGAGAGATCACAAGTAGGCAGAGAGGCAGGCAGAGGGAGAGGAAGGGAAGCAGGCTCTCTGCTGAGCAAAGAGCCCGATGCGGGGCTCGATCCCAGGACTCTGAGATCATGACCTGAGCTGAAGGCAGAGGCTTAACCCACTGAGCTATCCAGGCACCCCTAGAGATTTTTATACACCTATTTCTGCAATGGTAAAAGAAACAGATAAAAAATTCAATAAATATACAGAAGATTTAAACATAATTAATCAGCTTGACTTATATGATATATTTAGAAGACTATACTCAAGAACTGCAACATTTTCTAAATCTGACCATATGCTGGGTCATGTCTCAAACAACTGAAATTAAACCCTCCTCTTTCATATTTCATATTTCATATTAGAAATTTTACAACATGCTTCAGAAAAAAAAACATGAATGAGGGTTCCTAGGTAGCTCAGGTGGTTAAGTGTCCAACACTTGATTTCAGCTCAGGTCATGATCTCACGGTTGTACTGAAGATTCTCTCTCTCCCACCCTCTCCCTCCCCCTGATTTGCTCTGACTTGCACACTCTCTCTCAAAACAAATAAACAAACAAAAACTCCTCCCCCCAAAATGAAAAAACAAACAGAAAAAACCTACATGGATCAAAGAAATCCCAATGGAAATTAGAAAACATTTTCAAATGAATGACAATGAAAGCGCTACCTAAAATCTTGGGGAATGCATATATTGGAGAAAGATGGAAAATCTATGCTATAAGTTTCTATCTCAAGAAGCTAGGGGAAAAAAAGATATCTAAATCCAGAGAAAGCAAAAATAACAGAAAAGAAAGTATAATGAAGAAAATCAAAAACAAAACATTGGTTCTTTGAAAAGTTAATAAAACTGATTATCAAGAAAAAATTTAGAAATATACCTATATAAGAATGAAAAAGGAAAAAGCTTTAAGGATTTTCCAAACATTACAAAGAAGTTATCATGAATAACTTTGTGCTGATAAAACAGAAACTGAGATGTGCTGGACAAATTCCCTATAGTTCAACAATGCCAAGGAAAGAGGAAATCTTTTCTAAATTTTATTTTATTTTTTCAGTGTTCCAAGATTCACTGTTCATGCACGACACCCAGTGCTCCATGCAACAGGTGCCCTCCTTAATACCCACCACTAGGATCACCTACCCCCCACACTACCACCCTCCAAAACCCTCAGTTTCTCAGAGTCCACAGTCTCTCATGGTTCATCTCCCCCTCCAATTTCCTCCAATTCACTTTTCCAAGAAAGAGGAAATCTTAAAAAAACCTTTCCCATAAAGAAAATTGTTGGCCCAAATGGCTTCAATGATGAATTCTTTCAAACATTAAAGAAATAAATGTCACTCTCATACAAACTCTTTCAGGAAATAAAGAAAAGGAGAATTAAAAACATAGATAACAAAACCTAACATAGACCTTATGAGAATGAAAAATTACAAGCCATTCTCTCTCATGAATATAGGTATTAAAAATTCTTTTAAAAATGATTAACCAAGTTATTCCAGCAATAAATATAAAAGGAATAATACATCATAACCAAGTAGAATTTCCTCTAAGAATGCAAGGTTAGCATAGCATTTGAAAATCAACGCAGTCCACCACATTAACAGAATAATTAAAAAATAGTCATTCTGATAGATGTCCCCTCAAAAGATCGGTTAAAACTCAACATCCATTCATGATAGGAAACAAATATTTTATCTTTTAATCAATTTAGAATAGAAGAAAACTTCCTTAATCTGGTATATATATATATCAGATAAAACCTACAGAAAAAAAAACTTAATTATGAAATACTTAATTATGAAATTATGAATAGTAAATGCTTTCTGCGTTAGGTTGAGAATAAGAACATTCACTTGTCTTACCACCACTTCCATTTAACACTCTATTCAAGGTTCTAAACAGTGCATTATGGCAAGAGAAAAAAATCAATATACAAATACTGGAAAGAAAAAGTAGAACTTTATTATTCACAAATGGCCTAATTGTGTATACAGAAAACTTAAATCATTTCCAAAAAATAGGTGAATTCAGCAAGGTTGTTGAGGGTCAACATATAAATTATATCAACTGAATTTCCAAGTGTTTGGGGTTGACATACAAGAAAAAAATACCATTTGTAATCAAACAAAAAATATCAACTACCTATACAATGAAAATTATAAAACACCACTGAGAAAAATTTAGAACCCAAATAATTTGAGGAAAATACCACATTTGTGGATAAACTCAGTAGTATTACTTTATCAATCCTCCCCAAATTAAGCCACAGGTTCATACAATTCCAATCAAGAGCCTAGTGGGGCTTTTGTTGTGGGGGAAGGAGGCAGGGTAATTGACAATTTATACATAATTGCGACAATCCTAAAATGACTTTAGGCACATGAAGGAGAACAAAAAAAGTCGGAGGTCTTAATATTACCTCCACACATAAAAACTAATCATAAAGTTATAAGCATGAAAAAAAATAGATAAAGGAAGAGGGAACCTTATAAGACCTACAGATACAGTCAGCTGATTTATGACAAAAGCATCACTATAGTTCAGTGGGGACAGAATGGTCTTTTCAAGGAATGATGCTGGGACAATGTGATACACCTAAGAAAGGAATGGACCTGGATCCTGCAACATGGACAAAAATTAATCCTGGATGGATTATATACCTAACATATGAAAGGGAAAACAGAAATTTCTAAAGGAAAACAGAAAAATATCTTTAGGCACTTAAGTAAGCAAAGCGTTCTTAAATAGAACATTTCAATAAAGCATTGACCATTAAAAAATGGTGAGCTAGACATCATTAAAATTAATAACTATTCATCAAAAAATAATATTGACAGAGTGCTAAGCCAAGGTACAGACATGAGAAAATACATGCAACACAAAGACCCAAAATGTGCTTCAATCCAGGAAATACAATGAATTCCAAAAATCACCCAAAAAACAGCCCATGAAAAATAAAAAGAAAAGGCACTTTATAAAGAGGATATCCAAAGGTTCAAGAAGCATATGAAAAGTGGCTCAACATCATTAGGTAAATTCAAGTTAAAACTACCACAGGATATTATTACCTACCTATCTACTGAAAAGGGAAAAATTAACCACATCTAGCTATATCAGCATTGGAATGCTTGGAATCTGCTGGTGGGAACATCAGATGCACAATCATTTCAGAAGACTGTTTGACAGCATCTACTAGAGTAAACACACATATCCCTTATTACCCACTGAAAGACATAGGTAAGGAGGGACATAACATTACTCATGATAGCCAAAACCTGGTAAAAAAAACAAATATCCACCAAGGGTATATTCATAAGATGAAATGGAAAAATTATGGCTACATGAAACTAAAAGAGTCCCATACATATGACGCTGAAAGAAACTAACCAGATACAAAAGAATCGTCCGTTTACGTGACGTTCAAAAACAGGCAAAACTAGAAAGAAGTGACAGAAGTCAAAATAGTTCTCCTTTTTATTTGAAGTAGGGAAAAATCAAAGAGAAAGGCACTAGGTTATTGGAAATAGGAAACTAGGAAAAACCTAGGTTATTGGAAATAACCTAGAGAGGCAACTAGGTTATTGGAAATGTTCTGTATCTTGGCATAGGTGGCAGTTAAGGCATATATGTAAGTAAAAAAAAATGTAATGAATGGTACTTTTAGGATTCTTATACTCTATACTTTGTGAATTACATTATAATATGAAAGAAAACACACGTTATCTCTTAAGACTTGACTTCCTATAGAGTTTATCTTTTAATTTTTCCCTTTTAGTTTGACAAGGTATTTTTCCTCTTGATGAAGAACAGGAAATCATCAGTATCCATCTGACCTTAGAATTAAATTATCTTAACTCTCCTATGGCAAACTTTAAGAAAGGGAGGGGAAAAAGCACCATCTTTCTCCAGTGATTGGAGTAAAATACCAGGTTTAGCTTGTGTAATCCAACTCATTATGCTACTAGATAATCTTTTAAAGCAGGAACATCAAAAAGTTGTTTATGATGAAAGATCAAAATAAAGAACAAATTATAGTAAAATAAGTTACTATTAAATCAACATAAAAAAAAACCCTTTGATACTTTCTCTGGAGCACAGAGGAAACTACAGTAAGCTGGATACAGTAATTACATGTTTTTGTGTTTTAACATCAATAAGAATAAAGTACATGGTGATCATCATGTGTTTGTCATTGTAGATAACCAGAGGCAGCTAAAAGGAAGCTCTGTTGACTGAGGCATCAATAACTATTTCAAAAAAACACTAAATAACCATAAAAATCCTATATATGAGTTGAGAAAAACCATATAAATCCTCTCTAAACGGAGAGTTAACACCATTATGACAAAATGTTTGAGACACTCTTTAGCTTTCTTACATCAACACCATGTAAAAGACAGTATTCTCAATATTATTTTAAATGGAGGAAATTATAATCAACAACTTAAAAAGCTTTGAAGTACTGTAGCAGCAGATCCTAAATTAGTATTAAACTTCCTTAGTCTCCCTAATCACAATACAATGTACTTTAAATCTTGAAAATGAAAGATATATGGTAAGTTTAAAGGCAAGACAACTAAAATGGGGCTTAATGCCTGCCTTCATCTAGAATCATGAAGTATTCTAACTCAGGCCTCATGTAAGGAAGGAGGGAATTTACCTGCCATGCTGGAACAGAAGTTGAGTTGGACATGACTGTTTTTTGCAGCTCTTCAAGGACGGCATCTGGGAGAGGGTTTTGTGACTCGAGGAGTAGTTTACACTGAACTTGTCTCAAAAGTAAGATAACAGCTGGCTGATCAGGGTTACTTTTTAAATTCTAAAAATTAAACACCAAAATAGAAATAGATCAAATAGATTCTTGAATGTTAAGTGGCAATTAAGCTATTCTCCATGTTGGAAAAAAAAAAAATCTGAATTTAACCTTCCCTTAATAAAAAATAAAGAACTGCAAAAGTAAAATAAAACAATGAACATTTTGAAAATATCAAACTCCACATTTAAATTAAAATTGATAATGCTATTATTGTAGTTTTAAGGTCATTTTAGATTCAGTTTGTCTCTTTGACTTGTTTTATTCTCAGGTGATATCCTGAAAACCTTGAGTTCTGAATGTAAATGGGTGAATTAAGAAAACATGAAATTAACAGTGAAGGCTAACACTATTCCTTATTGGAAGGAACTCTACCAGAAAAGCTATAGTTTTTTGTTTTTTTGTTTGTTTTGGTTACTGTGGTTTTTTTTTCCTTTTTCAATCTCTTCACAAAGATATTCATTAGATGTCCTTCTCTAGGCATACACTTTCCAAACACTGTTAAGAGAAACGACCCATTTACCCACCTCCCTAAGCCATTATTTATCCACAAACACATATATATAGAATTATATATGTGTATCTCCTTGCTAAATATATGTATACAGATGGATATATGTATATGGACAGATATACATATACTTCAAAGAAGTTTACGGAAGTTCTCTAAACAAGCCTTCCACTATTGTTCTAAACATTTCTTTCGTTATTGCTTGTCCCTCAATAACATACTTTACTTTTTTAAATTAAGTCATAGTCTTAAATATATGTGGTTGCTTTCTTCTAAGAAACTGGAACAAAAAAATGATAAGATTCATAAACGTATCCCTTATTCTGTCAGAGAGAGTATAGCAACAGTCAGTTGCTTATTAAACACTAACTGCATAATACTAATCTGTCCTGAATTTAGATGGAATTTCATAAATAAAAGAGAAAATTTACCACTCTGCTTTTCAGAGAATTCAAACACCAAAGGGATCTTCAAAGATCCATTCTTCCTTCTCCATAAAATTCATCTCCTCCCACACCCCTGCCCCCCCACCAAAAAAACTTCTAGAAAGAAAATACAACTCGACTTGGTAAATATTTATGAAAAAAGGCATTTTCAGAAAAAGTGATGTTTAAAACTTGCATTATCCACTCAATTATTTCTGAATAGGTTTATGAAACTGATTTATTCATTGAATACATATTTATTGAGCCCCTACTATGTGTTAGGCAAGGTGCTAAGGATTTACACACAGAGCCTACAATCCAGGTATGTAAAAGGTTACTACTAGGTAGCACCAGTTGCTCACTTACTTTTCATTGTCTTTATGTGGTTCAGAGCTTTAGAAAAATACAGAGATGATAGAAAATAGACCAATCTGAAGGCAGTAACCAGAAATCAAAGGAAAATATGGCCTCCATAATGGTATCCTCCTCAACAAAGATCTCTGTTAAGTCCTTGAGTCCTAGAGTCACACAAAAGTGAGTTCAAATGGCAACTCAATCATTTTCTAACTGTGAACTCTTGTGCAAATTACTTGCCGTCTCTAAGCCTTGGTCTACTCATTTATAAAAAGGGGATAATAGTATTTATGTCATATATTCCTGGGAAGTTCAAATACAAACTGCTAAATGGACTGACTGGCTTACAGGTTGTCGTTGTCATCGTCATCATCATCATCACCAACACCACCACCGCCACCACCATATGCCCTTTAAATAACGTGCATTCCATGTTTAATGTTATCTTCAGAGTAGGATAAGAATCCATACATCTCAATGCTCAATTTCACAGTCATACCTTCGTGCAGAGGGCTTCAGCTTCAGATATTCTTCCCGTGTCTATTAGACCAGTGACAGCCTGGGAGAGACACCACTTTTCCAGAGATTGGTTATAATCCTTAAGGAATTCTTTGTCTTTAACTGTTAACAAAAATGTTAATGTTACTTTCTTCTGCGATTTATAATGTGTTCTCAGCGGAGAAATTTGTTGCTAAGAAATATTACAATTAGACTTATCATCATAGACAATATTTTAAAACTTACAATTTTTTAAAACTTAATTAAAACTTACAGGAATACCATAGACTACCCTAGTAGGTGCCAGGTTCTGAAAAGTTTCATGGTAGGAGCATTTGTGGTTGAGGAAGTTAAAACTTTATAGACTTGTGATTTACATAAAAAATCACTTTACAGTAAAACTAAAAATAATTAACTGAAAAAATTAAATATTTACTGCGATATAATTGACATACGATAAATTAAACATTTGCACATATTCAAACTATGCAACTATGAACCATCACTATAATCAAGATAATGAACATATTCATCAACATGGAGAGTTTCACCCTATCTCTTTGTAATCGCTTCTGTCCCCAGCATACCTTTCCTTTTACGTCTGTCCCAGGCAACCACTAATTATTTTCAGACACAATGGATTTGCATTTTCTAAAATTTCACATAAATGGAATCATAAAGTATAGATACTTTGTCTAGCACCTTCACAACTATAAACATAGTAAATTACATTTCTACAGGTAAAGCGGCTTTACATTCCTAGGATAAACCCCACCTGATCATGAGGTATTGTTATCTTTTTTATGTGTTGTTGGATTTGAATTGCTATGGTTTGTTACAAATTTCTGCATGTGTAGTTCCTTCCACAGTATTCCTGTTAAAGTCTTTGCCTGGTTTTGGTGACAGAGTAAATGCTGGCCTCACAGAAGAACTACCAACTTTTCTATTTTGGGAAAGGGTTTGTATAGAAGTGGTATTATTTCTTCCTCAAATATTTGGAAGAATTAATCAATGAAGCCTTCTGGTCCTGGAATTTTCTTTGTGGAAAGATTTTTATCTATAAATTCAGTGTCTTTAACAGATACAAAGCTGTTCAGTTTATTTACTTCTTCTTAAGTGAGATTTGTATCTTTTAAGGAATTTGTCCATTTCATCCAAATTGCCAAATTTAACGGTGTAAACTTGTTCACAAGGTCCTCTGATTAGCCTTTAAATATCGCTATAGTGATGTACCCACTTTCATTCCTGATGTCTGGCTAGAGGCTTATCAATTCTACTGATCTTCTAAAAGAACTAGTTTTTTAAAAAAATTATTTTTATTAACATTTAATGTATTATTAGCCCCAGGGGTACAGGTCTGTGAATCATCAGGCTTACACATTTCACAGCACTCACCATATCACATACCCTCCCCCAATGTCTATAACCCAACCACCCTCTCACTACCCCCCTCCCCGCAGCAATCCTCAGTTTTGTGAGATTAAGAGTTTCCCTCCTGATCCCATCTTGTTTTCATTTTTTCCTTCCCTACCCCTGCACTGCCTCTAATTCCTCGTATCAGAGAGATTGAAAGAACTAGTTCTCACTTTTGTTGATTATGTTTCTACTTCCATTTATTATTTCTTTTCTTTTGCTTACTTTGAGTATAAATTCTTCCTCCTTTTTCTAATTCTTAAGGAGAAGCTGAGATCACTGACTTGAAGGCTTTCTTATTTTCTAATGTAGACATCTAATCTATAAATTTCCTGGGAGCAGTGCTTTAATAGCACTGCAGAACTTTGAAATGTCTTTTTCCTTCTCACTCAGTTCAAAGTATCTTCTAACTTCCTTTCTGGCTTATTCTTTGAACTGGATTACTTACTTTCTAAATATTTGGGAATTTCCCAGGTATTTTTCTGCTACTGCTTTTTAAATGAATTCTATTATATTAAGATAATGTTTTCTACATATGATTTGAAGCCTTTTAAATTTATTTAGAACTTATTATGGCCCATAAGACATGTAGGTTAGATGTTCTGTGTGCAGTTGACAATGCCGTTATTAGAAGTATTCCATAAATGTCAATTAGGTCAATTTAGTTGACAGCGTTGTTCAAGTCTTTATTATACCTTTACTGATTTTTTTGTTCAACTGTTCTGTCAATTACCAAAAGAAGAGCACTGACTCTCTAACTATGTAACTGTGGATCTGTCTGTCCCTCCTTTCAATTCTGTAAATTTTTAGTTCATACATTTTTCCACAAGTTTCTTTTTTTCTACCTATCTTAGTGTGAAATGCAATGCTGATTTTGTGTGTTTTGAAACTCTGTTACTTAGCACATAAATGCTTAGCACTGTTATGTCCTCTCGATGAATTGATTCCATTATGAAATGACCTTTCTTATCATTGGCAATATCATTCGCTCTGAAATCCCCTTTGTCTGAACTTAGCACTGCCATTCCAACCCTCTTTTGATTAGCGTTGGCATGGTGTATCTTTTTCCAACCTTTTACTTTTTAGGCTATTTTTGTCTTTACATTTAAATATAAATGTATATTTTGTCTATGTTTCTTTTAGGCAGTATATAGTTGGCTCTTGCTTTTTTATTCAATCTGAGAGTTTCTGCCTTTTAACTGGGGTGTTTAGGCCATTTAACTTGACTATAGATATGCCTGGGCTTAACTCTAATGTGTTACTTGTTTTCTATTTGTCTTATCTAAAGTCTTTTTTCCCTTTTCCTCTTCTTGGAATTATTTTTTACGATTTCCCTTTTATCTACCTTGGTGGTTTATTAGCTATAACTTTATTTATTTAGTATCTACTTTACATTTTAAAGTATTCATCTTTAATCTGCCACAGTCTACTTTAAGTAATATTATACCATTTCACGTACAGTATAAAAATCTTACAACAGAGTATTTCCGTTTCCCCTACTGTTCTTTGAATTATTGTTGTAATATGTGCTTTATACAGTCAATTACATTTTAAAGAGATTTCTAATGTGTCATGCGTGGATCTGTTTTTTGTTTTTTTTTTTTAATTATTTTCAGTGTTCCAAAATTAATTGTGCACCACACCTAGTGCTCCATGCAGTATGTGCTCTCCACAATACCCACCACAAGGCTCACCCCACTCCTCACCCTCCACCTCCCAAACCCTCAGTTTGTCTCTCAGAGTCCACAGTCTCTCATTGTGGATCTGTTTCTATTGATTGATTGATTTCATTATGGGTGGTACTTTTCTATCTCTTTGCATGGGTATTAAGTTTTAACTGAATACGAGACATTGTAGAATTCTGAACATTTTTGTATTCCTGTAATGTTCTGGAGCTTTGTTCTATATGCAGCTCAGCCTCTAGAACATGATTTCATCTTTTCAAGACTTGTTTTTAAGCTTTGTCAGATGAGATCATTCAGCCTTTAGCGTGGGGCTAATTATGCCCACTACTTTTTGCAATATCCTTCTGAGTACTGTAGCCTGAATTCATTATGTATAAAACGTGTTTGTAAACTTACTTGAAGCGGAAACAGCAGATAACAGTGCCAAGTACAGATCCATTCTCTTTGGCTGAGTATTGTTCACTAGAGCCAGTTTATCATCAGCATGACAGGCTGCCATCAGCCCAGCCCAGACAGCAGGATCACCTAAACATAAAGAATATGGTTAGAGGTCTTGTTAATATCAACATATTGCTAAAAAATTATCCAAAGTGAGACTAAGAGTTTATAGATACCAAAAAATTAAATTAAAATTAAAAATGAATTGTATCTGTAGAAAAAAAAATCCATTTTCTATATTTTTTTAAAAAGATTTTATTTATTTATTTGACAGAGAGAAATCACAAGTAGGCAGAGGGGCAGGCAGAGAGAGAGAGAGAGAGAGAGAGAGGAGAAAGCAGGCTCCCTGCTGAGCAGAAAGCCCAATGTGGGACTTGATCCCAGGACGCTGGAATCATGACCTGAGACAAAGGCAGAGGCTTCAACCCTCTGAGCCACCCAGGCACCCCCCCAAAAATCCATTTTCTTAAAGGAAACTAATTTATACTTCTTTTCAGACAATATATTACTATCCTTCAAGATCTGCCTTTTTTTTCAAAATACAGCAAGAATAAGAAATATTCTATTAAGTTCTCCCATGGCTGGTTAGCTCAGATGCCTAGAGTACTGTGCTACTGTGGAAAAGTCAATTATATTTACTTTCATTGGACACCAACGGCAAGTCTCAAAGAGACACATATGGTCATCATTCAAACCCTGTATTAAAGGTTCAATCATAGAAAAAGCAAGATAATACTATTTCTCAGTTTTTAAGAAAAGTTCGAGCCAAGGGAAAAGCTCACAACAACTCCATTTACCTATGTTCTAACAGCCAAGCATAAAGTCATTTTATCATTCCAAGTGAAGCAATTCTAGGATTATACAGCTGTTCACGGATTTGATCTTTCCTTTCCTTCACACCTTGACAGCAGCTTCAGGGGAGGGGGGCAAGTAGCAGACTGAGGTAGTACTAATATAGATTATGCATACAGGTGCCTCTTTTTTAAAAAAGGTACTTGCAAAAAGAAGGTGAAAAAGAATTTAGAACTTAGATGAGTTTTTATTTTTTGGTCTCTTATAAGTCATATTTTGTAGGTTAATATCTGCACGGTCAATATCTTAGTTCTGTTATGCTAAAAAAAAAAAATAATAATAATAATTTTGGGGTCCCTGGATGGTTCAGTCGGTGGAGCATGCAACTCTTGATCTCAAGATTGAGAGTTTGAGCCCCACAATAGGTGCAGAGATTACTTTGAAATCTTCAAAAACAAATAAACAACAACAACAACAAACAGACAACTAATTTTAAAATCCCACAGGGGTGCAAGTTAACAATATAGTCATTTAAACAAAAATTTTAGCTTAAGTTTTACATTTTTCCTATTTAACTGTTCCATCTAGTATATACCTCTATTAAATGTCTGAAATGTCTATCTATTTTACTTACAGAAGATCAGTATTGTGTTAATAGTACAGGAGTCATTAGAAATCTTAGATAAAAAATCTTTATAAAAAATTAAATGCGTATCTCCATATTATAAAATAATTTCTACCCAAAACAATGACTACCTTATTTTAAATAATGAAAGACAGAATCAAACTCCAGAGTAAGGAAATGAGGACCACTCCTTAGAATTCATGAGATCTGATTATTGTATAATGAAACGCAAGTGACTAAGTCTTAGATCTGAGATTTTAGTTTTAACAATGCAACTAATTAAATGTGTGCCAGCCTTCTCTTTGGGACTCATTTTTCTATAAAACAAGGCAAGTGAACTAGATGATGGCTCAGGTGTCATCAGGTCTAAAACCCAAAATTCCAAATGAAGTGGACTCAATTTCTGAATATTAACTTATTTCTAAGATTAAGTGAAGAACTCCCTTTAGGGATCTTAAGGTATAGTTTTAATTTCAGGAGGAAGGAAATGGATATTAGCTGGCTGTAATTTCTCCTGTCACAATTCAGAAGAATCATTGCTTTCATTAGCTTTTCTGTAAGTAATCAGCAAATCAAATTCCTTATGAAACCAAGTGATAATATAAATATATGTATATACTATGAGCCTAAAATTTTTTAAATATAATTTGCTAAAAATACCTTCTAACATCACAGAAGCACTAACCTAGCAGAAAATGGATTTTTCTAATTTAATTCTAAATTCTTGGGATTGTTTAAATTTCTGAAAAGATTCCTTTGAATACCATCTATCAAAACTATACTTTGATATAGTTCTACAAATTCTACAAGGACAAAGATCTATGAGGATTAGGTATATAGCTACTACACATAACTACAATTAAATTTACTTTCACTGGATGCCAAAAACAAGTCTCAAATAGGAACTCATCTTCATTAGTCAATCCCTGTTTTAAGCATCTTATATGATGACTCTAATTCCTTGAGTATGTGTTTCTCCAGATAATATGGGAAAAGAAGAAGATTACAGAAGACCTGATCTGGGCAATCTCACCTTTCTAAAGTTTATGCCACTCACACAATCAAAAGCTAACAGATCTTTTATCATTCTAGATCCATGGTAAAAATCCTTGAGAGTAATTCTATCTAATACTTTATTGAAATAACCTCTAAAAATCAAAAACTTATCCAATGTGTAACAAAGACAAATCCAAATGTTTAGGGTCTTTTTTTGTTCTATTGCATAAATGAAACAAAGAATAAACCACAAGATCTTGGTCTGTTTACTTGTTTTACAAAATAATCTCTGATTTATTAAATATTTTGCCTTTAGGGCCTTTCCAATTTATTGTGAAGATAACATTGGACTTATTTTGTACGATTTGTTTCCCAACAGTTCCTAGCCAAAAGCAAAAGTTTTCTGACTTGAAGTGCTCTGCAGGAAAAAAATTATTTAATTCAATATCTCATATTAAAAATACTATTATATAAAAATACACACTCATAGGTATTCCAGTCCTCTAGGAATGATAATGGAAGTATATTGATGTGGTCATAGGTACTTGTTCAGTGATCACTGTGATCAAAGACACAAAGAAGAGCTAGCTCAGGTGAGGTCATCACCTTGACATTCCAACAATTACCCCAGAAGACATATCTCCACTCTTTAAGGAGCTAACTACCCATAACAATAACTAAATAACTAAATACGTTCATTAAATAATTTAGTAGCTATAAGGTAAACCTCATTAAACCAGATGATGGAAAACAAAAAGAAAATTACTTCTTGAAAATACACAATTCAGAGTTTCAATAAAGAGTAATAAAGTATCTTTATGCAGATATTCCTTTTAGCCTGCTTCAAGAATTGGTTATTTCTTAATTATTAGCAGTCAAATGCAAGATAATCAAATAATATGCAAAAGCTTAGAATATTTTCTTAAAATTCCCTTATTTCATGAAATGCAAACTTTGTACCTACAGGTCACAAATGCAAAACCAGAAGAATCTGAATTAATGAAATGGATTATATTATATTCACCTGGAGAAAGAAAAGCTGCTTTCTGAATGGTCTTTAGTGCAATATTTTTTTCAGTTTCTGCTGAACTGCTTCCCATAGCTAATTCATTTACTGCAGTGTACAGTAATGCCTTCTGCAAAAAGGAAAAAGAAGAGTATTAACCAATTATCTTTGTAGCTCTGTGACTTTCAAACTGACTAAAAATAGGACTATATCAAGTATGATGTGACTTCCTAAACCTAGGAAGAAAAATTATTTTACGGTTTCATAAATAATATTATTTAACAAGTAGGACATTTCCTTTGTACTGGAGAAAACTAACCTTTCCATGATTTGAGTCCAAAATATGAGCCACATTTCCTGCTATAGCACCTCCCTATAATAGAAAAAAATTATTTAGATAAATGTAAAAACTTTCACAAATAAAAATTAATACTGATAAAAATCTTCCCATTTAATTATTTGAAAAGCTGTTTAATCACATTCATAACTTCCAAACTCCTGAAATATCAAATGATTACTGCTTTAAGAGACAAGTTTAGTATTTTTTTAAATTTAGTATTTTAAAAAAAAATCTTTTCTACTATGATCATTTCAACTCTACTCTTTTAAAATACTCATTAATGGTGCAAAAGTTACACAGTTTTATATCAAACACAAGGACATATTTCCTAACAATATAAAATAAAGTGAAAGAAAGAAAGAAAGAGAAAGAGAATCAGAATCCCAGAACTTATTTTAGGATTAACATGGTTTTACTCCACGGAAATATGGTATTTTAAAGTCTTCTGTAGTGCCTATTAAAATGAATAGAGCACCCTGAAGCAAATGATGGCTTCAGTAACAGTCAGCTCAAAACTGAAAATGACAAAAACATATACATCATAATTTTCGTGTAGTAAATCTGAAATCCTTAATTTTTATACTCAGTTAGACATTTTACCTGAAAGAAAGTGAAAGCGAAATAAAGTGAATTATGAGAATGATTTCATTTTAATTCAGAAGTACACTGTTCTCCTAATTTCACATCGGAATTGTATCAGAAATGTCTTGCACATCATAGTTAGCATATAAAGAATGCTAAGAATAACCTTTAAAAATATGTCAATATAAAACAAATAGAAGACGGATTAAAAAGAAAACAGAAAACACAGCGGAATAGAAGGAGGATTCAAGAATTAGATCTGGGATGATCCAACACCACAAATACTAACTGGTTTTTGCACAAGTTGTTTATTCTCTGTCTCAAGTGTTCTCTATAAAATGGACATTAATTGCAGCTACTTCATGCGGTTGTTGGAATTAAATGACAAAATATATATAATGGTTGGCACATAGTAAGTACTTCAGTCTAGTGTCTAATAATGATGTTCTTTTAGGTTTTCTGAACTACTATGTGCAAAAACGGGTAGGAATAACAAATAAAATCAGACCCACACAGACTTCAGACAGTGGAATTATTAGATATAATAAGTGTTCAAAACATATCAGCTACTACCATTATGTTTACCCACTAATTAAGCAACTATGAAAGGACATAGTAACCACAGAAATTAACAAAATACTTTATAGACCCCCGAAAATATCTGGCTACTATGAACTAAAATACATAATCTCTCTTATAGAACATCAATGACTTCATGTTGCAATTCACCTTTTTAGATGTTAGACATTAACAATGTCCTAGTTCTTATTTTCTTATCTTTGAAGAGCTTTTAAATAAAACTATCTTTTGGGATTCAAAAAACCCAACAGTTATTTCTTCCTAAATGGCAACATTATAAACATAACCTAATCACACAGCCATTAACATAATTTGTATGTATTGAAAAAAAAGCCCACCTACTTCTTTGTATCTTTCATAATGCCCAGAACAGTTCAATAGTACAGGAAAGAAACTCGATGTACTACTTATCAAATGACTAATAGCAAATCTGGTGAAAGAACAGAACTCCCTTGTTGCATTAGTTGTTTCCCAGAAGGATAATGCTAATATTCTAAAAATTGTATTACTTACTACATCACAAGTTACTTTATCTTTTTGCCAGAATTTAGAACATTACTTACCTTTGCACTTCGGTTAGTATACTGAGCAATTACTCGGGACAACAGAGACCAAAGAGCTGGATCAGCTGGATTACTATAGAGATCATCAAAAGCAAAAGGCTTAGATAGGGGAGTTACTTTAAACCATGAAAAGTAAAAGCAACCAACATTCTATTTAGTACCTAAGTTCAAAATCTTGTAGACATCTAAAACAAGTTCGTATTAATTGTCTATGTGTGAATGAAAGTGCTTTTAATTTTCAGAAAACGTATCTTCTAGATACACCAAGAGTTCTTATGAAAATAAGAAGGAAAAATCAGCAACATGATAATTACAAAGCCTAATCTAATTAAGAAAAGCTAAGGAAATTTAGTACATTGTGTTCAAGGAAAACACAGAGATGAAAACTGTGAAAGGAAAATAAATTTCATTTAGAACACTTTACTGCTGGGGTGCCTGAGTGGTTCAGTTGGTCAAGTGTCTCACTTTTGGTTTTGGTTCAGTTCGTGACCTCAGGGTTGGTGATCAAGCCCGGCCTGGGGCTCCTCACTCAGCACAGTCTGCTTGAATTTCTCTCCTGCGGCCCCTCCCACACCATTCATGCACACACTCTCTCTCTCTCCAAAATAAATAACTCTTTAAAAAAAAGAACACTTAACTGCTGAAAATAAAACAAATAACCACTACTGCTAGTAATAAGTGCTTTCTATTTTCTAAATTTGGAAGACATTAGTGAATGTTTGAGTGGCCAAAAAATTCCTAAAACCATCAAGGTAGATAGCATCAAATAACAAACGGACCATATCACTAACTTGAGAATAAGGAAGGACTTTTGTATTAAAATAACTTTCAGGCCTTAACTTACTGAATAAGAGCAAACTTATTCAAACCTAATGCGTAAGTGCAAAATTTCTGTTCTCTTATCTTCTTATCAACTGATTTTTTTAAAAAAATCTTTATAGATGAAATAATGTGTATAGTCAGCTACCTGGTCCTAAGTGCAATTTCAGAAAACTACATTCTGGTTTACAAAAACATATGCTTCACTCATTTTATATTCTTAGTAAGGTCCAAATGTCAAAGATTAGCCCATCAAGTGTAATTACCCCAAGTTCACAAGTACAGAATTTACCTGTGAACAGCTTTAGATGCTTGTCTCTGCACTGCCACACTGCGGCCTTGCAGTGCATAAATCGCTGAAATGAGAAGGCACTTTGGATAATCACTGTCTTTCTGTTTGATGTGCTTCAGCAATTCATTAAGTGCCGCTTTTGAAAGTGTAGCATCCTGCATTGTCAATCCAAGAGCACACAGGGCTTGAAGGCTTTCTGTGGTTGGTTCCTTTAAGATGGAGCTGTAAATATTTTTAGTTGTCTATTAGCCATAGTACAGTAGTCTGTAACTATTCAAACATATTTAACATTTAGTTAAAAAAAGCAATTTACTTAAGGATTTACCAAACTAAGCCCAGCTATAAGATAAATACAAAACAGATTCCTTGGCTTCTGGGGACGGCAATTTTCCTAAATGTCTAAAGGAATTAAAAATTCCAAGGGCCTTTCTTTTCTGTTCATTATATCTAAGCTTTAGAAACAAATATAAATAGTGTTTTGGGGGCCTGGGTTTTAGAAAAATAACTAACCAGATAACCATATAAATAACCACAGATATCATAGGTTATTATTTTACTAATTTATTCCAAAAACATAGAAATAGTTACAAGTTATACTGGTATATATTTTTAAAGCTTTAATTTAAAATGAAATTTATCAGGTTAACTTGAAAAATAAAGACGAAAAAAACTCTTTGGGGACCAAAGAGCTCAAAAAATAAGCTCTTATTTTTGAATAATAATATTATTTTTGAATAATAATAATAATGAAGGGAGTTCTATTGAGTAGAACTCCCTTCATTAAAATTTTAAGATTCTACTAGATCAGATGATCAATTACTCTTTTAAACAAATAAATAATACACACAGAGTACAGGATGGTTTTGAAGAACTGGATGGACCCAGAGCTAAGAATTAAGCCATGATCTCTAGTTCCACCTATGACCGTCAGTTCACGATCAGGTCAGTCCAATTCCTTTTATTCACCAAAAAGTTCCTACAACATTAAAAACCTCCTCTTACATTGTTCCAATTTTTAATCCAATGTTTAATCTGGTCATGTTAAGTGCTGATGTCAACTATACATACCATTTAAATAGCAATGTCTTGGCTATGTCCATTTTTCCTTGTTTATACTCCGTTATTGCCAGAGCTGTCAAGATATGGGCTTTGTCCCGCTCTGATTCAACAACAGACAAGGCCCTCTCATAGGCTATTATACAGAGTTGGAAACAAAACAAAACAAAATAAACACAATCCTGATTGACAAACAGTGAAATTTCTGCCTTCTTAATTCTATTTTTTTTTAAAGATCTAACTAAAAATATATCTTATTATTTCCTTATTTTAAAGTGGATGGAAAAATTTTTTAGATAATCTAACTTGGTTTAATTGGTCCAAGGTGATACTGGGGATATCGTTAGGATTATTATGAGGCATCTCCTAACTTCTATCTTCAGAATCTGTAGGGGAGTCTTCAAGGGATGTGAAGGCCTGCAGCCATTGAGATACCACAAAAACTTCCACATGCATACCAGTAACTCCACCAAGCTAGATACTTAACAGTGAGTACTGTTAAGTACTAGCGCGCACACACACACACACACACACACACATATATATGAAAATGTATGTATGTGTATATATATATATATATATATATATATGAAAATGTACTCAATGAGCATTTTTGGAGAAAACAAAACACACTATTACCAATAATGGTCAAGGTCTTTACTTATCAGAAATTTCCATTTAAGCAAAGACCTCCTTTCAAATGCTAACTCTACTTTAAGTGATCTTGGGCCTCAGTTTCCTTGTGTAAATAATTTAAGATAACACTCAGCTCATAACATGCTCTAAGGACTATTCACATAATAATGTACTAAAGGAGGGAACAGATAAAAAGTACCTAATATCATTCCTGACTCCTAGTTGGATTTTAATAAACATTGCAACCCCTACTCCTATTTTAATGTTCCATCTTTCTGCATGTAATCTTGTTGCGATTAAATTCCACTCAGCCCTGGAAAAGTAAGATGTGTCCTTTAGCTTCAAGCAACACACTCACCTTTGCTGCTTTCTTTATATAGACCTTTCATAAATAAAGCCAATGCAAAACCTATGATGTCTTCTAACTCTTCAAGAGGTGTTGACTTAAAAGCCTGGATAGCTTTATCATATTCACCAATGGAACTAAGAAGCAAAACACAACTTACTTTTAATAATAAAAACAATTTTGGCTTGTATCATAAGAATACAGAGAGATTATTATACCAAGCTTCTTCTACCTTCACATACTTCGTCTATCAGTGCTAAAGCTGAAGAAAAGACATGTTAAAATAGAAGGCATATCATTTATTTCAAATTAGATGTACTGGGGAAATTTAATTCCACGCTTTGTTTCTTTTAAATTACATGTGAAAATGATTAGTTCTGCTAAATTACAAAGTGTCTTTCTTATTAACAAACTTGAACTAAAATCCCAAGGCATAAAAATAATTTCAAGTTGACTTTTTTTAAAAAGATTTTATTTATTTATTTTACAGAGAGAGAGAGAGAGAGAGAGAGAGAGAGAGACATCACAAGTAGGCAGAGAGGCAGGCAGAGAGAGAGGGGGAAGCAGGCTCCTCGCTGAGCAAAGAGACGGATGCAGGGCTCAATCCCAGGACCCTGAGATCATGACCTGAGCGGAAGGCAGAGGCCTAACCCACTGAGCCACCCAGGTGCCCCCAAGTTGACTTTTATACAGAACCCTTTAAGCTTAATATATTGGTTGAATACTACCCTGTAAGTATGGTTTTAGCATCTCTGAGAAGCTTAACAAGCATAAAATACTTAATTAAAATCAAACCTAGCCTCTGTATAAACTGTTTACCTGCACGTCCTTTTTTTTTTGAGAGTATAAAGATAAACTGAATTTCACAGACAAAACTATAGATTATCTTTTCTGTATTTAATAGGAAGAAAAGTAAAAATTATTACATATGATACTAAAGTACAATACTTCTTTTCAAAGTTTATTTCATTTTATTTTTTGGAGAGAGTGCATGGCACATAAGCAGCATGGGTTGGGGGGGTGTGGTGGAGAGCAGGGAGAAAGAGAGAGACCATGAAAGAGAATCTTGACCAAGCTCCACACTCAGTGGGGAGCCCTCCACAGCGTTCAACCTCAAGACTCGGAGATAGTGACCTGAGCTGAATCAAGAGTCAGATGCTCTCCCAAAAGAACCACCCAGGCGCCCCTAAACTATAATCCTTTTTAATAACAAAAAAAATAATTGCTTTGCTTATTTATTTGCCATCACCTGCACAGGATGCACTGTGCCCTTGAGATTCTTATTTTTCATATCCATCACTATAATCAGAAGCTGTTTCTATTTTATTGTGTTATTAGAACTCTTTTTAGAAAATCCTTTTAATCTTGGGGGGGTGTGGGATCTAAAAATACAGGCAGCCTTTGATTCTAAAATTAGTCTCATAAAGGTGAAATATTTTAAAAATAAAAAAAATTTAAGGTTTTTAAAGTCAAAAACCCTCAAATTTTGATAAATATTTTGGTGAAGGAAAGAGGGCTACCTCAGATTGTACAAGGATACATACATGTATTAGAAGCTTTTTTTAAAATAAACACTATCTTCAAACATGTGATTACTTTTGTAGAGAATAGACTAGAACTAGGAAAAGCACAAGGGGCTTCAATTTTATTTGTAACTTTTCCTTTGGGAAAAAACCCTGAAGACAATGGGCAATTTTAAGATCTGTTATATTTGAGCATGACTATCATTAAATTATGCTGTAAACTACTTACTGCATTTTGCATGCTTAATATATTTCATAATAAAAACAAATTTTAAAAGACATGATCTACTCTCAGTAGAAGATACAGATTTTTTTCTAAAATATTTACATTATATGGTGGGGCATCTGGGTGGCTCAGTTGGTGAAGCGTCCAAATCTTGATTTTGGCTCAGGTCATGATCTCAGGGTTGTGAGATCGAGCCCTATGTCAGGCTCTGTGCCGAGCATGGAGCCTGCTTAAGACTCTCTTTTTCTCCCTCTGCCTCTGCCTTACCCCCTTCCTAAAAAATAAATAAATAAATAAAAATAAAATATTTACATTACATGAAACCCAAACTAAAAACAAACATGATACTTGTTCCATATAATTTCTTACAACCTATCTTCCACTACAACAAAACCTTAGAAATGACAAAATTATCAACTCCTAACCACAACAGTTTAAAAATACAGGAGGGAATAGCAGTCGGAACAGTCATATTTTCCTGTCTATGAATATGATTTAGTTACATGGTTATAAAAGAAAATAACTGGCTACCACAGATCTCTACTCTGTACCTCTTTAAAAAAATGTAGGCACTAATCCCAAAATATCAAACTACAATGTTAACAATGTATTTCCATCTGGACCATTCCATTTGGGGTCAGTTCTCAGCTTGAGGAACACTTCCCTAAGTTGAACCAAAAACCTTCCCCACATAATACTTCTATTCTCTGGACCCTGAAGATAATGGAAAATCCTATAGATTTTTGTTTTCTTCATTTCATTCTAATTTTTTAATGCTGTCATAACAACTTGTTCACAACAAATTGCTACAACAAAAGCACTTAATATTTAGATTTTAGACTGTCAGGAAAATTACTTTAATAAGGTGATCTCTTACTAAGTGAAATCATTGATCATACTTGAGTTTTTAATTCTAACTTCTAAAATAACTGGGTTTTAATCTTCTTTCTTTCTTTCTTTCTTTCTTTTTAACTCTTTTTGAAGTAAAAAGTCTTGGAAAACCTGAAGAAAGCTAAATGGCTCTCTCTCCATCCCAAAATGCTCATACACAAAAATTTTTTTATACTATTTCTAAACAGTTTCTAGACCCTCAATGGCCATTCCCCAGGTAAGTATAAGCAGCAAACGAATCAGAATAAATCCAATTCCTCTTCCAATTAACTAGGGTTCTATTATAACAGACAGCACGTGCCTCTCTTTGAAATGTTCTCTTGTACAGTCCACAACCATCAGTTCTAAATCTGCTTCTCACTAAAGCACAGTGGCCTTAGATATCGATGTAGGAACAGGAAACTATTAACAAAGCCCAGTATTGAGGGAATTATGTATCGTTGGGAGATTTTCAGCCCACTCATCTATAAATGTCCCACTACTCTGGAAATTCGTCACCGCCTCACTAGTCCCATAGCTTTCGACAGAAAAATCTAATAAAGTCACAGAATTAATGGGAAAAAATGTACTTACCATAACAATCTTCCATAATTTCTTACTGTAACATTGTAAGTATCTTGGTCTTCCGCAGTCTGTAACAATAACATTGCCCTTAAAAAGGACAAGGTTTTTTAAGTTATATATGTATAATAGCATTCTTTTCCTCTTCCTCCCTAACAGAGATTTTGTAACTTTTTCTTTGGGAAAAAACCCTGAAGACAATGGACAATCCTATAGATTTTTGTTTTCTTCATTTCATTCTAACTTTTTAATGCTGTCATAACAACTTGTACACAACAAATTGCTACAACAAAAGCACTTAATATTTAGATTTTAGACTGTCAGGAAAATTACTTTAATAAGGTGATCTCTTACTAAGTGAAATCATTATCATACTTAAGTTTTAAATATTCCAAAAAACTTGATCTAAATATGGGAAACAATGGTGTCACGATTTTAAGTTTTGACATTATTTCAAGAATACAGCAAACAATCTTAAAAGTATTTATGCCAGTAGTTTGAATTAGGAAGCCAGGAAATTTGAGTGCTTTCATGTGCCCTTACCTGTTACATACAGAAAAATATTTAAGCCGTACTTAGTTAAGAAAGAAAACAATCATAAGGAGTCCCTAAAGGCCTTATTATTTTTTTAAAAGATTTTATTTATTTGACAGACAGAGATCACAAGTAGGCAGAGAGGCAGGCAGAGAGAGAGAGAGGAGGAAGCAGGCTCCCTGCTAAGCAGAGAGCCCTATGTGAGGCTCAGTCCCAGGACATTGGGATCATGTCCCGAGCTGACGGCAGAGGCTATAACCCACTGAGCCACCCAGGCGCCCCTAAAGACCTTATTTTTATCTTCTTGTGTTCAGTCCCTTTAGGACAATCAGAAAAATTTCTTAATAACTAACAGGAGTTGGATATTTAGTAAGATTTTTGTTTTTACTTTTCTGCTTTTTTTAAAAATAATTTTTATTTATTTATTTGACAGAGAGAGAGCACAAGCAGGCGGAGTAGCAGGGAGAGGGAGAGGGAGAAGCAGGCTTCCTGCTGAGCAAGGAGCCTGATGTGGGGCTGGATCCCAGGACCCTGGGATCACAACCCGAGCCAAAGGTAGTTACTTAATCAACTGAGCCATCTAGGTACCCCACTTTTCTTTTCTGTTTAAAACGGATTATCTAGGAATAAATACCCAAGGAAATTTTTTAATATGCATGATGTTAAATGAAAAGCAAATATTTGCCAAAGCAGTCTAAAAGACAGTATTATATAGTATATTAAAAACTGTAATGGTTAGATTTATACCTACTTTGTGGTTTTGAGCTTCAAATAGTTGTTTAAAGCGAAAAACAACAGCAGTATCAGTCAAGGAGGAGGGGTGCCTATCCACTTGCCTGTGGAGCTGCTATTTTAAGTTAAAGGTATAACTAGTGTTAGATTCACGGTGTTTGTGATTATAGTACGTAGAAAAAAATAGCAAGTGCTGTAAAGCTTTCTGGTTTCTTTGTTTAAAAATCCTGCTCACTGTTGCGTTCTACCATATTTCTACAGTTTATTTACACATAGGCTTATTGTAACATTGAAAGAAACAGACTTGTGGTTTTTTTATAAATCTCCACATACACCTGGAAAAAATATCCCCTTGATCAGGCAGCCTCCAGTACCATCTAGTGATGGCTCCTTTGAACTACCAAGAGATCCATAAAAGGACGTGGCAAAGCATTTCGGGCACCTCAATTATTTTTTATCTGACAAGCCTTCTTCTATGTATTTTTCAGATTTAGGGCAATGATATGTGCAATCAGGACTTTAAACTTTTCACTTAGTGCTCACAGTATTAAGAGGAATTTTCTTATTTACCAATCTATTCATTTGCAGAGAATAAACCTTCAAGTTGACTTCATTTCCTATGCTCCTGGTTGGTCATTTTACTGAGCACACTGTCCTCATTTCTTCGACGTGCCACGTCCACTCCTGTGTCAGACCACTTGCTCTTGCTGTTCCTTACGCCTGGATGCTCTCGCCTCTTAACCAAATGGCTTCGAGCCTCACTTCATTCACGCCAATCGTCACCTGCCTCCTTAGGAAACCTCTAACTCTTAAACCTCTCTCAAACTCACTACCTGCCTTCATGTTCCCTGGGCCTTTACCCCATTTTGATTTTCTTTCTTAGCAATTATTACCATCACTGATGTTGATAAGCTCATCACATGTCTCCCCACCATCAGAACGGGCGCTCCATGAGAATGGAGTCTGTGTCTGTTTTATTTCACTGCTAAATTGCCAGTGCCAAGGACAATGCTTGGCACAAAGCAGTTCAAAAGCTATTGAATGAATAAAATACAGAACTTAAATTCAAACAAATATATCCTAATTTTCTCATTTCTTCTCTGAATGAACCTACGTGTTTTTTAATAAAGCTAAACAAAGTCTAAAGTGAAAGATTTTTCTAAAACAAAATCTGAGAGGTTTTTTAGTTTGTTTTTTGTTTTTTTTTTCCCCCTCTCTGTCTCTCTCTTGGATTGAGCCACAGAAACCCAAATATAGCTGAAAATTTAAAATTGCATCTTTCCATCTTACATTCAAAGATATAATAATAGATAATATGAGATCAGGAAAGGAATCAGAGCTTTTGTTTAGTACCTTCTTCATGAACTGAGACTAAATTAAAAAAAAGCCAACTAATAAATAAGGACCGCTTTTAATTAAATGTAGAGTTTACCTCTGGTATGCCTCTGTGGCTTCCTTTTTCAGTTGTAGATGTTCATTTAAGTAACCCAACATTGTGAAAGCTGGAGCATAATTCTGAATTCTCTCTGAAAATCCAAAAAAATCTTTTATTTACATGTGCATGGTGGTTGTCGTAAAATGTTAATTTTCAATATCTTACATGCTAGATTACCTCCTAAAATCACTAGCATTCTTAAGAATAATCTGATATTTATCTTCACTATAAAATACTAGTAATCATTTTATAACTTCTAAATGATTGAGTATTTTATACTTATTTACTTCTAGTTGCACCTGAAAGTCTAAACATTTTTATCCCCAAAGTGCAATAATTTGAAATTGTAGTTCATGTTAACACTAGTCATAAGATTTATAAGGAAATTCAGTTCCTTGGCTAACGAAGCTTTCCTGCAATTTTCTTGATGGTTCTGTTCCAATTTCTAGGTGTTAAAAAAAATGAACTCAGTACTGTACACTAGAAACCCAGGATGACTTGGACACTTTCAATGCAGTATTTTGAAATTTTAATGTCAGAAAACATCATGTATGTGCTAGCATACAGAGAAACACATCTGATTTACTTAAAAGTAGTATTGGGAAATAAGCCTTCAAATCCCTTAAATTGTTTGTTTGGTTTTTATTTTTGTTTTAAGATTTTATTTATTTATTTGACAGAGAGAGAGATCACAAGCAGGCAGAGAGGCAGGCAAAGAGAGAGGGGGAAGCAGTCTCCCCGCTGAGCAGAGAACCCAATGTGGGGCTAGATCCCAGGACCCTGAGATCATGACCTGAGCTGAAGGCAGAGGCTTAACCCTCTGAGCCACCCAGGTGCCCCAAATTGTTTAACAAAGTGCAGTGCAATCACAATTTATGTGGGGAGACTCTAAAGTTAAAGCACAAAGTGAAAAATCACATAGTCAAAGTTATTCTTGAAAACTCCCGAAGTCACAAAAGAGAGGAACACCAATACTGAGTCAAACTAAGAAGAGATTCATGCCTTCCAAGCACACTCTGAGGAAAACCGTCAGCAAGACAGAGACTGCCTGCATTCTCCCTGCTCCCCTCACCCTTTTCTCCTCCTTTCTTCCTTCCTTCCTTTCTCTCTTTCTTATTCATTTGTTCATTCATTCATTTATGGCAAAGTCACATAGAGTTGAATTTAAATATGACATATTAATATCACATATAGTGATATGGTATCACTATAGGATAAAAAAACTGGGATCTTCATAACTGTCAGGAATTCTGTGTTCATTGTTCTAGGTATCTGAATTTTGTAGAAAGCTAAGATTTACATCTCTGTATAAATCCTTTACACGTTACCCATTCTAACGGAAACTTCAGAGTAAAATTTCTGATCTATACATGCTCACAAAGGCTCTAGATATTCTTTAGTCATTCATTTTGGCATATTGTCTAACAAGTAGTGCTCTGAAGTGCTGGGATTTGTTTGTCAACTAACTGCCTTCTGCTCAAGTATCCCAGGCTCAATGCAGGAAGAGTATTAGAATCCTCTCCATTCCTATGATGAGAAATTTTCTCCTCTGCTTTTCAGTTTATCTGATTCTTCATAATATGCAGTGTCCCTGTACCTGCTTAAACTTCTCACTTCTTTATTTGTCAAGGAATAAATAAAAGACTAGTGAAACTAACATTTCTTGAGCATCTAGGCTATGCCAAGTACTCTGCAAAACATTTTGTATAAATCATCCCATTTAAACTCTAAGTAAAAGAAACTTTCATTCTTGGATTATGGATGAGAAAACTTAAATTCAATTGTACAATGTGCCCAAGGTTTCATCATAGCTACTAAGAGATTAAAACATACTGGTACTTTTCCACCCTCCAGCCACCATCACAAGTGCACTCCTTAATCTCCTTATCTCACTCATCCCCTCTCTACACCTCCCCTCTAGTAACCACCAGTTTGTTCTCTATAGTTCTTGGTTTGTCATCTCCCTTATTTTTTTTTTTTTAAGATTTTTTTTTTATTTGAGAGAGAGAATGAGAGAGAGCATAAGAGGGGAGAAGGTCAGAGGGAGAAGCAGACTCCCCATGGATCTGGGAGCCCAATTCGGGACTCGATCCCAGGACTCCAGGATCATGACCTGAGCTGAAGCAGTTGCTTAACCAACTGAGCCACCCAGGTGCCCACTCTCTTGCTTTTTAACTTTGTTCGTTTGTTCTGTTTCTAAAATACCACACTTGAGTGTAATCACATGGTATTTTAGTCTTTCTCTTTTGACTTGACTCTGTCTCTATTTGACTTATTTTATTTAGTATTATACACTGAAGCTCCATTCATGTTGCTGCAAATGGCAAGATTAAACTGGTAAAAAAACTAGTAGGTTTATTAAGGAAGAAAGAAAATTATTACAACAGAAGGTTAATGAAACTTCACCATTCTGTCCTTTTCCTAAACCTAAATGTGTTTTTCCAGTATCTTGAAGAAAAATCAGGTGCTAAAGTAGGAGGTTAAACACACTAGTTTTGGAAAACAAAACAAAACAAAACCACTAGTTTTGGAATTTAAAGCAGATTATAACATTTAATGTTCACACGTCTACCACCTAGCAATTATCATTTCTACTTTACGAGGCTAATAGAAGTTAAGAGAATAAAATACTCGGCCTAAGACTGCAGAGAAATAAATGGCAGAGAGAGAACAGCAGCAACTCAGGCCCATTAGGTTCCAAAATGCTTTCCACTACAACGTGGAATCAGTTTTATTGGAAGCATTAGGTAACAGCAATTTTCATTACTCTTCAGAAGTCATTTCTATAATTTGAAAAGAACACTGCTTGGCCACTGGGAGAAAAAAAGGGCAAATTCATGTCTTAAGGAACACTAATATTTAATTTAGAATTAACTAATTTAAAAAACTGAATTGTTTCAATGGTTATTCAAATACTGAACACCTTACCTATGTATTTACTCAAAACAACTTGTGCTGCTGGAATAGCATTCATCTGAACAATGTTGTACCGGTACAGCTCTGTATCTCTGTTGCTTTTGTCTTGCAGTGTCGTACAGACCCAGTACGCATAACCTATTGCTCCCTCAGTCTATAAAAAGAGACAAAGTTAACAAGTAAACATAGGATAATAAATATACCAATAAAAATTATAAAACAGTAGACTTCAACACAGTAAATATCACATCTTAGTCTTAAGTCCACCCCTAAGTGCCTCTAAATGAAGACTCACTATGATTCAGTACAACTAAGAGCATATTTAAATTACTTGCTCCAACCCTAAGTAGAAGAATCAAATGGGATTTAAATAAAGTGCAGAAAACAGTGCCACCCAATGGGGTTGATTTTCTTCCTCTCAGTACTGCTCTTACAGATGAAACTAATAATTACCAATCTAAAGGGTTCTAAAACACTTTCATAAATAATCAAGAAATGTCAACCAAGTCTAGTCCTTATCTCACGCTGGTTTTTTCCTAGAGTCTCAGTTTCAATTCTGAATGACTACTTTATCTATTAAATTCTATGTCATTTCTTCATCAACTTTTGAAAGATAACAGAAGACAAAAATGAGAAGTTCTTTAAAGACAGCGTATCTGTTTCTAAGACAGAATAAAGAGTAGAGACAACTGCCATTATTAACATCTGATACCACTCTGTATTCATTTTCTCAACAAGCATAATACTTAATTCATTAACGAATCCTTAAGAATGGTCAAATTCTTACATGCATACTGAGTTCTGTAGTGTGCCTGAAAAGATCCATAGTGTCATAACTTCCAACTGTCTCTGCAATAAGAGCCTATAAAAGGAAAAAAGAGGCTCTTAATGTGTTTAAAAGGAATAATAACATAAGAGAAACTATTTGGAAGAATCAAAGGTATACTAGCTATGCTTAAAAGCAGAGCTAATTAAAAAAAAAAAAAAGCAGAGCTAATTTCTTTTTTAATTTGTTCCCATGGCTCAAAGGACCAGAATGACTTATTTTTTTGTTTTTGTTTTTTTTAAGATTTTACTTATTTATTTGACAGAAGGAGACAGCAAGAGAGGGAATACAAGCAGGGGGAGTGGGAGAGGGAGAAGCAGGCTTCCCACCAAGCAGGGACTCCAATGTGGGGCTCCATCCTAAGACCCTGTGATCACGACCTTAGCCGAAGGCAGATGCTTAACAACTGAGCCACCCAGGTGCCTCCCAGAATGACTTGTTAAATTGGCCCTCAAACTGGAAAATGCTTTCAGAATTCCATCTGCAATCGGGTAGTAGTGGAATAATCCACATAAAATTCCTCAGAATGCTGATGAAGTTGCACTACCTTCTCCCTTCCCTTTCACCCTTGATCCGTTCATACCAGTGTTTGTCTGGAGTAGGGTTCTTAATCATAAGATCACCTTAGATTCACCTAGATAAGCTTTTTTTTTTTTTTTTTTTAAAGGAGGTCCTTACCGCCAGACTTCTAGTTTCCATGGATCTGAAGTAGAGTCTCAGCATATTTATTTTTTGAAGTGCCTCAGAATTTTAAATAACATACCTGTATCTTTAAATTTATAGACTATGAGGTAAGTTAAAATTTCTTTCAAACTCATCTATCTTTTATAAAAAAAAATCATATATCACTAATATTATTTAAGAAATAATATTAAGTCTCACTTTTACTGTTACCATTTAATTAAACCTACCAGTTAATGTCTGAAATAAATTATTTTTAAAAATAAAAAGAATTGAAAAATTTAAAAAAATTACTTAGATGGCTCTGATTAGCATCCAAAATCTCCTAACCCAGAGCAGTACTACAAAGTCAAGTACCTGGACCAGCACCAGCACCTGGGAACAGTTAGAAATGCAAACTCTTGGGCCCCCTGAATCCAGTAACTTACACAGAGATTAGTAGTAATGCCATTGCTCCCAGATGCTACCACAGTTCATAGAGTTACCTTTCTAACTCTACTTGCTTCACCAATTAACTAGAATTTGACCCAAAAATCAAAAGTAGAATAAAACATATCTAAATTCTGATTATTAATTTCCTGAGATGGGTGATGCTCCTGCTATTCTCTGAACCAAAACAATCAACCACTTACTCATTCATTACAACTTCTCAACTAGGTAAGACCCTGGGGGCCATCAGCCAAGCCCCTTCTTTTTCAAGGTAGAAAAATGAAATCTAGCAGTGATATGTTCAGATAAAACAATCAGGTCAGCGATGGACTCGCATTTGTAACCAAGTATCCTGATTCCTATTTGGCAATACACAAATCTAGAGTGTGAACAGAAGAACAATACTCATAAACCACCATCAAATCAAATATGAAGGTTTTACAGAAAATGGGAAAACATAATCAGAATGATCTTTGTCAATGTTAATGTTTTTGGTAAATGTGCACTTAAATAACAGAATTCTGAGTTTTTTGTTTTTTGTTTTTTTTTTTTTTAGCTCAAAGCCTCCCCCACCCCAGGCCAAAGCTTAATCATACAAGTTGTAGGACCCTACGCACAATACTTAGGATCTCTAAACTTTAATTTCCCCATCCATGAAAAGTTTAATAACAACCACCATCTCAAAGCACTGATGGAAGATTAACTGAAATAACATATACAAAGAGACTAGCGCAGTGACTAGCACAAAGGAAGTCCTCAAATGTTACCTGTTATCATTATTATCATTGTTATTTGAATTAATAGTTACTTATACCACTTTACATTAATAGGTTGTTTATATCCTGGATTATTAATAAACATATATATCTTACTTGTCCAATCCAGCACATTAAATAAGATGGATCAAGAGATTGAGCCATTTTGAAAGCTTCATGAGCTTGCTAGGAAAAAAAGTAAAAAAAAATAACATGTCATTTTATTAACTTAGTATTAAACTGCTAGTGTTTAAAAAGCATAAGAGAATACGATAAGTCACACTTGTCAACATAAAACACTTATAAATCTAAGATTTCATTGTTTAAACAAAACTAGCAATGTTTAAAACCGTGTTTTAACTACCTAGTTTTTAAAACCTCTAGGTACAATAGATCTCTCTACCAGCTTAGGGGTTCCGGTTCCCACTGAAAGGGCAATACAGGGGTTCACCTCATAGTTTGTAGAACCTCTAACCAATCACCCATCCATTTGCCAGCCACAGTTTGACAGAAGTACCTACTATCCCCTCCTGAAGCTTAACTGGTAGGATAAAAACTAACAAACAATGACACATATCTGCTACTGGGCGAAAAAAGAATGAGCAACATAAACCTGTGTCAAGCAGTCAGGAAACTTTAAAGATACCTCACTTGGACTCATTAAGTTACGTGCTCATTTTTCTGCTCCAAATACTTATAGTTACATGCTGCCTGATACTCTACTCAGTAATCTGAACGTGATGGCAAACAGTCTTATTTTTCTTAAGAAAAAGGTAGCTCATGGACAGCAACTGAGTTGTGCTATCATAAAACTACATTCATAGCTTATTAACTAAGATTTAGCTTTGTTTAAATTTTTAAAAAATATTTTCACATTTTAAGATCCAAATTAATATTCTCCTTCATTCTGTTTACAGTTTTTGAAGCAATCTAGGAGTGATTTAATTTATCCCTGAAAATATTACTGAAGCTATTTTAAAAGGATGATATTCAATATAACAGCCGAAACAAAAAATGGTACAGATGTGCTATTATCTACAGATTTATGGAAACTTTCTTTTTAAAAGATTTTATTTATTTATTCGACGCAGAGAGGCAGGAAGAGAGAGAGGGGGAAGCAGGCTCCCCGCTGAGCAGAGAGCCCAATGCAGGGCTCGAACCCAGGACCCTGAGATCATGACCTGAGCCAAAAGCAGAGGCTTAACCCACTGAGCCACCCAGGAGTCCCAAATTTATGGAAACTTTTAAACATGACCTATAGACACATTTCCAATTACTGTATTTTGCATTCTCTAATATATAACTCTTCAGGCATGACAAATTACATTGTGGCATCTAAAGGAATTAATATACGCCACAGGCCCAATCGAAATCACCCAAGCGGAGATTAAACTTAAGCTAAAAAACAGTACTAATCATCCCCAGGACTTCCTCTCCCCACCCCTAACAGATCCTATACCAAGCTCTTCTTATATGTGTACGGATAAAAAGAAAAACACCCAAATATTTCACAACAGAACTGTTATAATCTTTAAATGAAAACGCAACATAATCATAAAACCAGAATTTCTTCAGTTGTGTGGAAAGGAAAATAAATCTTACCCGTTCACTATTCATATCTATAATAAACTAAATGTCATCAATTATCTAGCATACAGGAGAGCATACTGAATAGACAATAATATTCAAAGTAATTCCCCACAAGAAGATGAGCGATTACAAAGAGGTCATAAATAAAGAACGTTTTTACTTTTAATATGACAAAACAGAAAATACATTTACCTCAATGTTTTCATTTGCAAGGTATAACACTCCCAAGTTGGTCCATGCAACAGCATTCTAAAAAACATATATATACACAATTAGGTTCCTGCCTACATGGCAGTCTCAGAAAATTATTAACACTAAATTCTTAAGTTCTTTATCATTGATAGACACAAAGAACACCCACAATTTGTTCCGACTGGATAGACTTGATGAAACAGTGTTGAGCAAGGGCATAATTTCTAATACCTGAAAAATACAGAATTTGATGAAACTGAACTTTATTACCTAAAACCATCTTCTAAAAATATTGAAATGTTACTCAGTTCTTACCATTGTGACATGAAACCACTCCAAGAGCATTCCAGTATAAGTGATTTTTACTGTCAAGTCTCACTGCCTTTTTCAGACACTGAAAAGTAAAACTGGATTAATTTTTATATCTTGGAACATCAGCATTTATATCAAGATAAATGTGGTTTTACATGAAAACACAATAGTATCTACTTTATCAAAAACATCTATCAGAAAAGCACTTTGTTTTTTTAAAAAGCTTATAAAAAAATTTCTCAAAACCATACATGTAAAGATTTCTCCAGCAATTCTTTAGGATCATTTGTATTGCTGCCTGTTTCTGCTAGATGTTGTGCTTGGCGATAATAATTAATTCCAAGGTCACACCATGTATTAGATGTAGACATCAGTTTTAATGCACGACCATAACACCTATGGAAATATAAAAATAAATGTTACATTTTGTTAAAAATGTCCTATTTCAAAGTGAATGTCATTAACTAGCAATCTTTGTAAATTACCTTCCTCCAAGATGGAGGAGCTCATTCTTCTTTAATACTTGTTTGCCTTCTTTCTGACCTAAAAGGACTCCTAAAACAGTAACATTCACTTTAGATGGTGAGACAGCATACAGACTGGTACAAGCATCCCCAACTAGCTTCCAAAGGCAAGAGACATCAGCTTGATGTTGCAGAGCCCTAAAGAAAACAAACAGTGTGATTCTTATAAATTTTTTCCAAACAATGGGAAATTTATCTCTCTCATTATAATCTTAATTTTCAACTACTTCCTTGGTTTGGTGCAGTGAATGCTTTACTAAATTCTTTCTAAATGGATCACATTTTATCATCTCCCTATTAGGAAAAAGAAAGGAAGGGAGGGAAGGGGAAGAATTGATCATTTTAAATGCCAGACATTTTGCAAACATGTGAAGACCCATATTTACTGAAGCAAATAAGACTGAATGCACAAGCTTAAAAGAGTAAGTAAAAATATTAATTATGGTGATAAAGGTCACTTCTTTTTAGAATGCGAAAAATCTCATTCTAATGGATGGAAATGGAAAAATTCATTTCTCTTCAGTTTTCTCTTCTCAAGATCTTAGAAATAAAACACGACAATTTCACTTAAGCCAAATCTCAATAATCAGCTATCAAACAGCTATGTTACTGGCAGATGGACAAGCAGATGGAACATTTCTCATAGCCTTTTCTACTAAAAAAGTCCAGCCAAAAATCATTTTCCAATATCTTCCTGAGAAATAAGATTAATTACGGCAGTCATTGCTGAAAGCCCACTGTGAGGATCAGGAGGAAGGACAACACCATGTAGTTCCTCTGCCCAAATACCTTAGCATAATTTCTAAAATTGACAGCATGATAGCATAATACTAAGTGAAATAAGTCAGTCAGAGAAAAGCAAATACCATATGATTTTATTCATATGTGAGATACAAGAAACAAAACAAACGAGCAAAGGGGAAAAAAAAAAAAAGAGGGACAGACCAAGAAACAGACTCTTAGCTAAAGAAAACAAACTGATGGTTACCAGAGGGGTCGTAGGTAGGGGAATGGGGAAATAGGGGAGGAGAATTAAATAGTACACTAGTTGTGGGGAAAAGAGGTAAAATAAAGTAAAATAAAAAATGCCTAAAAATAAAAAATAAAATTGAAAGTATGAAAGAAGAAAATAGAGTGGAAAGAGAAACAGAGGTAATTTCAACAGCCTAAATTCTTATTTTCTTTAAAGCTCAATAAAAAAATAAAATATCTGTAAAGTGAAATAACTTCTATCACGCTTACATAAGAATTATGGTAATATGAACTTTTAAGTCTAGAAGTAAACATAAATTTGGGAATTATCACTTAAAAAGTTTCATAGATCTCCATTTAATTGGCCATGAATGCTATAGGCTACCCAGAACACAATTTCCCATTGTCAGAAAGGCAGTATTTGCATTTCAAATATCATCACTGAAAGGTTCACATTTACTCTTAAATAGTAGTTCAAAGGAAGCATGCCCTCTTCACAATATCCTGTCCTCTTTGGAAAGATCTCTATTATGTGAGACTTGAAAAGCAGCAATAAAAATCTGTGGGAGAGAAAAGGCTAAGGTTTTCTTTTCATATTTGGTTCATACTCAAAATCAATTCTGGAGCAACCAAATCAACAGGAACCACAAGAGAAGGCAAGTAGGAAAAGAAAGGAAGGGGAGCACGAGAAAGATGTCTAAGAAAAGAATAATTCAAATATATGTGTAACAGACTTTTAAAGATCATCTAACACAACACTTCTATTTAGCTAATGACTTTATAGTTCTATAAAATACCAGATTTACTCAGATTTTTCTGATTCCCTTAATATTAGATATCACTTTTTTGTCTACACAGATTCTCTTCAGGAAAAATGAGATTGTTCATTTCCCCTCAACTGCACCCCTACCAATATACCTAAAACAGGCCCTACTATCAAATATAACACTGATACGTTGTATCCAAGCAGCCACTTCCCTGACAGACCGCTCCCCACCCCTCCCTAGCATCTAGCATGTCAGCTGCTACTAAGAACAAGAAATTCTATCTGTTCCCCAATGCAAAATTAATACAATATGTATGGTACAGAATTCATCGGCTAGTCCCTTATTCTTTGTGTTTGATATTCTGAATAATGATTGCTTTACCTAACAGAATAAACACAGAAAAATTTTCTAACTTTGGCTTTATTATAATTCTAGAAAATAAATACAATGAATAATAAGAATAATACTAACCAAGTAAAATATTCCAGTGCTTTTTCGATGTAGTCTACAGCTTTCCCATCAAGATAATCGACGAGAGCTGCTTTTGCCATCATGAGATGGCATTCGCCCAAACCTAAAACCAGGTTAAGTTTTTAGTTATTAAAACACATACAAGAAACACTCAAAATAAAGTTGAAAAAAAAAGAAAAACATAGTGGTGTGATATTAAAGCCACTTTCCAAAAACAAAACTCAGTAGTATTGTATAAAAATTATCTTTAAGATTGGTCTTGCATACATTTAGTATGGAATTCAAATGGGAAGGCTCTGTTGGAGTAAACTGTACTAAAAGTGATAAAAATCTATGGAAAAGAATTTCCTTGGCTTTGGGCAAGTTACTTAACTCAAAACCTCAGCTTTGAAAATGCTACTGAATGCTTCTCTCCTTTGTCTTACTATTTATTAATTATTATGAAACAAGATTTGATCTTTTTATATTCAAAACTGGATAGCAAACTACACTGTAAAATTTAAATGAAACAGCAATCTCCTCAAGTGCCCAGTAAAGATTTAATAATTAATAAATTAATTTCACTTGAGGAAAGTTTTTCAAAATTTAAAAAGAAGTTTTCAAGATCTAAGTCACGTATTACTTTCAACATACACTATTTCTGACTTAAACCATAATTGTTTCATTTAAAAAAAAAAAAGAAATGGAGTAAAGGACACGTAATGGGCTCCAGGTTTTTAAAAATGGTTAGATAAAATCATATAAAATTTAGATTATATATGGATGGTGGCATTTTACTTTATATTACCAAAAATCATTTGTTCAGAAGGAGTAGATATATATGGACAAACTGAAATTAATTTAGATAATAACAAAACAATATAAGTTGTCCCTGAAGTTCAAAAAATGAAAAAAAATCTGTAAGTTAAAAAGTAATTAAAATGTATTGAAATATTTTGAAGATATAGTAAATTAATTATTAAAATATAAGAGCAGGGAAACTCTTGTTTTAGAGATCCACCAAATAGCTATCATACTATTTGATCTACAAGTTAAATGTTTATCATATTACTATTTATTTACTGTTATGAGACAAGATTTGATTTTTCTATATTCAAATCTATATAACAAGTCATACTATAAGAGGTCCATGAAAAAAGACACCTTGCTGTTGACAAAAGAAATCCTTTTCAGGTTACAAAATACATTCTGGAAGACATTTACTCAAGGATTTTAAACTCCAGTATCACAAAAATCAAGGGGGTATTAAAAAATTACCTTTCAAAGCTGGCACATAATCTTCTTTCTTTTTAATGATCAGCTGGTACTGAGCTACCGCCTCCTTGTATTTGCCTAGGATTTGCTGTATTGCTGCAACCTTAAACACACTGTATGTGGATTCTGGGTTCAGCTCACTGGCTTTTGTGAAGGATTTCAAGGCTGTCGTATAGCCACCTCTGCTTAAGTATGCCTCTCCTAATGACTCCCAACAATTGAAGTCCTTTGGGTCTGCCCTTAATGCTGCCTGTAAACTAAAATTTCAGTAAATAGTAAGTGAACTAAAGGTAAAAGAACTACTTCCACATCTGAAAGGAAAATAAAAAATAAATAATTCAATTGAATCACATATATCCATGGTTCCTTCTATTTATAAAAGTGCTATTTAAAACAGGTATATGGGACAACTGGGTGGCTCAGTCAGCTGAGTGACAACTCTTGATTTCAGCTCAGGTCATGATCTTGGGATTGTGGGATGGAGCCCTGTCTTGGGCTCCACACTCAGAAGGAAGTCTGCTAGAGATCCTCTCTCTCTCTCTCTGCTCCTCCCTCCTCCCTTTATGCATTCTGTCTCTCAAATAAATAAATAAATCTTTAAAAAAAAAAAAGCAGTTATACCTTTTTCTTTTACAACTTGAACATATATTTTTATAACTTGAATATTTTAATACTAAGAAATTTTATCATAAATTAGGAATGAATAAGAACAAAATAACTTTTCAAACAAGTGCTGGTCAGAATTTTTTTCCTTGACTATCTGGAAGAATTCCAGTTTCCCACCAGAATAGGTATGTATCTCCATATGCCTCATGACAATTAATAATCCCCCACTGATCCTTCCACCAAGACAGAAATATCACAGTATCCTAGGTATTGATATAAATCAGAAACTTTATTTTAGTCCAAATATATATATATTTATATACATAAAAAATATAAAATATATGTATATTTATATATATATACTATATATATATATATATATATTTGTTAATGTTCTCACAAATTGGAGGGAAAAAAAAACTGCTACAACAATTTGTTAGGTTCAGAAAAAAGGTACTTTCTAATCCTTCTAAAAAGAAAATATACAAGGCTTATAATTAATTGTGATCATTCACATTTAAGTACTTACATTTTAATTTTTCAGTATAACTGTAGTAATGAAATTTATCTCTTGCAGTATAACCAAAAAACTTTATATACAGACTGAGGTCTTATAAACTTAATTAAATTGATAGAGAGATGCTGTATTCTCATTACTAGGAAATGCTAAGGCTCTGTTATACTTCCTTATAAATAGTCTTTGTTCTTCATTTTTTTAAATTGAAGTACAGCTGACGTACAATATTATATTAGTTTCAGGTATATAACACGCTGATTTGAAACTTACAGACACTATGAAATGTTCACCATGATAAGTGTAGTTGATAAATATATCTACCCTCTGTCACCAAACAAAGTTATTACAACACAATTGACTATATTCCGTATGCTGTACTTTTCATCCCTGTGACTTATTTATTTTATAATGCTAAGGCTGTATCACTTAACCCCCTTCCCCTACATCTTCTTTTTATTACGTATTTGTTATTATTAAATATATTTTATTTATTCTTTTTTTTTAAAGTAAGCTCTGTGCCCAACATGGGGCTTAAATTCATGACCCTGAGATCAAGAGTCGCATGCTCCACCAACTGAGCCAGCCAGGCTCCTCTATTTCATTTATTCTTAAGTATAGTTCAAACCAAATGACTAAAAATGAGCTGCACCACATGCACATGAAGCTGGCAAATATATCTCCTGCCCCAAAACAAAGCATGTCGCCGGGAGAACAACAAAGGTATCAGCCTCAGCTTGTTAGCATTCCTGAAGTTTCCACCGAGCCCCTATCATATGTGTAACACTAGGTAGACTTCACTTCATTAGAATGGCTACCTCCTTAACAAATGGACATCATTTAATTTATTTTTGCAATTTCAGTGTCTTGCACATAAAAAGAACCAATCAACTATAAACAAATTTTGCTATTCCTTCTCTCAAAATATAACCTGGAATGAGGCAACTTGTGAAGTCCACTTCAGGTATACAAAGAGTTTAATTTAAAAAAAAAATTAATAGTTTAAATGTAATAAGGTGCCTTACTCAGCCACAGCCTGAGAATGCTGACCAGCTTTCAAATAGTATAGTCCTCGCCTAAGCCAGGCCCATTTTGCCGTTCCAGCACTTGCCTTTTGAGTTACTGCTGTTAGGATAGCTAAGGCAGTTTCCTGAAATTAAGAAAAGACTAGTATTAGAGATCTCAAATACCATAAAAGTACGCAACACCTATGTAAAGTACCCAAACATATTTCCATTTACCGCTTCTGATTTTTTAAACTTACACCAGTATATACTCAAACTACAGTTTCAAAAATAAGTGATGAGTAATGTCATGTCTGCCAATGAAAAGAAAATTTACCCCCTCACAGTGGCAAAAATATTTCTATTGCGTCTACAAAGAAAAATTTAAAAAAAAAATAGTAACTTTCAAGTACACACATATAAAAATATTTCTAAGGGTTTAAGTTATTAGACATACCATCTCTTCAAGCTCCACACTTAGGTCAACTGCCGCAGCCCCAGATTCAGCATCAGTATCATCTAATTCAAAAGCTTTCCTGTAACAGCCACGGGCTCTGTTTTTATCTCCTACCACATCTCTGTAGTAATGACCTAAATAGCGGAAAACTCTGCCCATGTATGGATCCAGTCTGGCAGCCTTTGAAATAAATATTGATAGCAACACATGATTAAAGCTTGTCTGTGTGGTTCTCTTTAAAAACATGAAAGATAAATACATAGGTTAAAAGAAAAATGGAACATCTTTGTTAACCATAGAAAAATATGCCAACATGTCCCTTAATGTAAGATTTAAAGCAACAGGAGAGCTGGTTGTTACTACTTACAGAATGTAAATAAGTGTAAAAACATTATTTCTTTGTTAAAAATAAATGTGAAATTAGAGTTATTATTACATTAACCTTCTTTTATGCATCAAGGTAAGAATGTAAGACTTCAGATCTTTAAAATCTAAAATATGAGAAATTAAACATATGGAAGTATATATGCCCATATTATAGTGGAAATTACCTAAAAACAGTATTTTTCTCCAGAGATAATTATGTCCCATCTTCTATAATGTGTGTTTCTGAAATAAGTAACTTTTACATTTTTTATTTTCTCCTTGAAAACCCACATAACATTCTCACAAAACCTAATGTGTGAGAGATGAAACACCAAAAAACCCCAGTTTAAAAAAAAAAAAAAAAAGTTCAGGGCTGTCTAGGTGGTGCAGTGGGTTAACTGTCTGACTCCTGGTTTTGGCTCAGGTCATGGTCTCATGGTTGTGAGATGAAGCCCTGCGTTGGGCTCTGCACTCAGCATGACGTCTGCTTGAGATTCTCTCTCCCTCTCTCCCTCTGCCCCTCCCACTCATGCCCTTGCTCTCTCTCTAAAATAAATAAATTTTAAAAAATAAATAAAAACAGTTCAGAAAACAGTAATTTTAAGTGCCTAACTTACATGATTATTATTTATTATTTTATTACAAATCCATTTCAACTAAGACTTGAATAGTAGCATTTGTTTTACCTTTAGAAAGTGGGTAAGAGTCTTTGTTTTATCTTTTCTTGTTTCTTCATTCATGAACCAATATGTTAACCCAAGTTGGTAATGATATTCAGCAACTTCAGCATCTTTCTCAATAGCTCTCTGAAAACTAAGTCACCAAAGGAAGTAAGAAGATACACAGAACACACACACATGCACACAATGTAAGAAACTCCTGGTTGGGACAAAGTTGGAGTTATTCAAAGATACTAAATCAGAAGTAAGTTATTACTTTAGAATTTAGATCACAATGAGAAAAAAAAAATTTGAAGAGAAGCTTATAAAAGCACAATGCCTTTTAGCTTTAGCAGTGTGCTAAGCATTTAGGAGAACACATCAAACATTGTTCTACTCACTGACCATTATGATCAGCTAGTTAAATTTCATACCCATTAAAGAATTTTCTTACAGGTACTGTGCTACATGTTACATACATTTCTTAAAAATACTAATGCTTATGCAGATCATATTACACAAAATAGATCTTTATCAAACTACTCATTTTGAATTTTTGAGAAATACAGTAACTTAAGATATGACTAGATCTATGTGCAGTCTAAACATATCTTTACCATTTCTCTGCTTGTAGATAGTCCTTTTTGGTAAAATGAATCAAAGCTTCCAGGGCATGAACTTCAGCTAGGTCAGGGTAAGAAGAGAGAAGGTCTTCCATAATCTATAAAGTAGATATCTGTCAACTCTTTATCCAAATTAAGTCATTTGTAGCTTAAAAAAAATTCCCAATTTAGGGAACCTGGGTGGCTCAGCTGTTTAAGCATCTGACTCTTGATTCTGGCTCAGGGCATGACCTCAAGGTTATGAGACAGAGCCCCAGTCAGGCTTTGTGTTAGGAGTGGGTCTGCTTGAGATTCTCTCTCTCCCTCTCCCTTTGCCCCTCCCCCACCAAAAAAATCCCAGTTTGAATGAAAAAAAACCAACCTTTGAAGCTTCATCTAATGAACCTTTGTTCAGATAGGCCAAGCTTTTAAGAACCAAAAGTCCTGGGATATTATTTGCATCAGAAACCTAGAAAATAATTGTAAAGAGATTAAGTCTCTTTCAACACAGAGCAGCAATGTTTGCTTCAATTAAAGAATGACCATAGAAGAACACAGAGTAAAGACACACAGGTCCTTATTTTTAACACTATGAACACACTCATTCTTTATAACCTTTTTATTAGAGAAAATTTCAAAAACATTTCAAAAAAATTAGAGAATAGTATAAATAATCCCACATGTACTCATTATCCAGCTTCAAAATTATAAACTCAAAGTCAATCTTTTCTCATCCATACCTCCACCCATTTCACTACACTCCTTCTTAGATTACCCCAGATATTATAACTTTTCATCTGATACTTTACAACATATATCTAAAAAGTTCATTTTGATATAACATAATTGTACTACCATTATAAACACCTCGCCAAAACCAACAATACATCCTTACTATCATCAAAAAATTATCAAGTGTTCAAATTTCTCAGTTGGCTCATAAAATATTTAAGATTTTGTTTTAATCAAAATCTGAATAAGGTATATGCATTTCAAGAGACGATCTCTTAAGTCTCAATCTATAGGGCTCCCTTCCATTCTTTTTTCCTCTCTTACAATTTAATTGTTGAAAAATATGGGCCGCTTGTCACAATTTCTGAGTCTGGATTTTACTGAATGTATTCCCATGGTCCTGACATGTCCTTTGGTCCCCCATATCTTCTATAAATTAGTAGTTATGCCTCAACACGTTACGTGATTCAGTTTTGATGCTTTGTCAGGAATACTTCACGCGTACACGCACTTGGTTATGTACAGTTCTTTCTCTTGGGTAATGTTGGTTAGCAACCACTGATCTTCAAATTCTGCATTCCTTCTTTCCTTATTGATGGAATATTTCAACAATAAAAAATCCCCCCCCCATTATCTATTTGATTATTCTGAGCAACAGTTCATAAAGGAAAGGCAAGATAAATACTTTGAATCTTGCCAAACGGTTCCTTAGCATCCTCCAAAGAGTTTTTAATTGAGGATTTTATTGATTTTTTTTGTGCCATCTGGAATACATGAATTTAAACTTAAAACCTATTTGATATCTTTCCACTCACAGTAGTTACTGGTGCTCAAACTACCCTTTAGACAGTGACAACCAACCCATGGTAGTTCCTAAGCCTTTCTAGTATAATTCTAGAAGTCTTTTATAGTTTCCTTGCTTTCTAGCATTCTGAGATGTCCTGGGCTCATCCTGTATATTTTCTGTTTCAGACATGGACTTTATCAGCTCTCCAAGAAACTTTTCTGTGTCTGTGTGTGTGTGTGGGGGGGGGGGGAGAACAAACAAAAAGATTGAAAAGACCTCCTCAAATCATTCACACAAAATACATTACTGGTAGAAGGCAAGTAGAAAATAAGAAATTAAGATAATAGTTCTTGAAGGATGATGACAAATGTTCTAATTTTAATGAAATATTATGAAATGCAAAGTCCTTTGAAATATACAAAACAATGATATTTTAAAAATTCAAAACTCCGCAATAGCTGAGTGATATAATTTTAATTTTAGACCAAAATAGCCTTTAGCCAACAAAAATTTTAAAAGCACCATGTTGTTATAATTCACAATTTACTAGTTTTTTGCCAGGGATTTTCAAATTGCTTGAACAAAAAACATTAAGAAATAGGATTCCTAGGGCACCTGGGTGGCTCAGTCGTTGAGCATCTACCTTCAGCTTAGGGCATGATCCCAGGGTCCTGGGATTGAGCCCTACATCAGGCTCCCTGCTTGGCGGGAAGCCTGCTTCTCCTTCTCTCCCTCCCCCTGCTTGTGTTCCTGCTCTCGCTGTGTCTCTATCAAATAAATAAATAAAATAAAATAAAAAAAATAGGATTCCTTCTTAAATATCAATCTCCTTCTGTTTTATTAGACTGAAAAACAAATAAATAATACTATCTACAATGAAGCTACTGTGTCCTTCATTGTTCTCATCAGTAATCTATAAACTCCAAAGGAGGAAAAAGTTTAGAATCTCAAATTACTAATAATCAAGTAGTAACAGCCTTAGAGGTCCAAAAGAGAAAAGGAGAATAAGAACAAGACTAAAGAAAGAAATTGCATCATATGAAGAACACTGTAAGTACTTAACCAAAAGGTAAACGAATAACTTCAGTAGTTTCCAAGTGTGTGAATGATTTGGAAAATGCTGATGTGATGAATTCATACCTCTAACGTAAAATCTGTTTAAAAATAAATACTTACAAGGAGAGAGTGGTTGATGCCTGATTGACTGGAAAAAATAAAGTTGGAGGGAAAAACCTGGTAAGACTACCTGATTAAGAGTACAAATTGCTTCCACTGAAGATTCATAATCCGAGAGTTTAATCAAAGCCTCTGCTTTCAAACGGAGACAAAGATTCTTCTGATGCAGACTGCCACCAGACACACCAAGACTGTCTATGTTCTTCAGAGCTGACAAAATGAAGGACATCTGAATGAAGACAACCATATTACTTCATTTGTTTCTTCTTACGGGTGACAAATAATAAATTGGAGACACAATAAGAATAAATTGCCAAAACAACATACATGAAGAATAATTCAGAGCCACATATAAATTCTTCCCTGAATTCTTTATGGAAATATTTGCATTTAAAACAGAACAGAACTAAATTTAAAATCTCTATCTTTATGTGACGTGAACATCCTGAAATACAATGGCTATCTATATCTGCTACACAACAAAGGTTAGCCAAAGCATCAGTGTACAACTTAGCAAATGAGGGTTACTGAGGGAAAAGAAGTTGAATTCATATGGACCAGGATGAACTCTTTCTCAACCACAGAGGCGAGGCCAACGGCTGGGTCAAGAGCAGTGAACCACTTTTTATGATTTCCTATCCCCTCACATGGCTCATCTGACCACATTCAAATAGGCTCCAGATGCCTGAGACTTCTCTCATTTACATCAGAGAAATCAAAAGCTCCTGAAGTTCTGGACGCACTAGAAACTGCCTTATTACAGACAGAGCACCTCCATACAAGCCTAAACTGACTGTCAAAATTCCAACTACAGGGATCCTTTGAAAAATACTGTTAGTTTAAAAGATCATCCACAACATGCACATACACTTGGCATTATTTAACCATCTCAATGAAATTGAAATTGGTCAGTAAATTAAAATACAAAATAAAGCATGTAAGTTTCTTTAAGCCACTATCTTTTTCTTCTTTAATATGAAAAGAAACAGGGTTGGCCACCCTTACAGATGTCAGTAATACCTTGATTGCATGAAAGAACAGCTTCCTTAGGTCTATGCATTTTAACTTGGACTTCTGCCAGATGATACCATCCAGCCGTGCAAAGAGGGCTTTCCTTTAACCCTAAAAGGATAAAAGCAATCACAAAATCCAAGCTTTCTATGACTACTAAGTGGCAACACCATCTACTCCCCAAATCAGACCCCTCCTCTCCCTTGTCTCTCATATATAATTATTTGCAACATTGATTCCATGCCCCAATCCATTTCTCTACAACTGCTACTTCAGCTTCCATCTCCACCATCTTTATCCCAGACCACTGCAAGTACTTGCCACCCACTCCAATTAATTCTCTACACTGTAGCTAGAATATCTCTACAAATACAAATGGAATTATGGAATTCCCATGTTTAAAACCTTCCACAGGTTCCCAGCTGCCCTTAGGATAACATGCAAACTCCTTCACAAAGTGTGCAAGGCCCCTCTTCAGTCTCCTTTCTTCACTCTTACTGCTCCCATAGGTCATTCTCAATGTCGTTGAACTACCCTGAATTCCAGCTGTGCTCTCAGTCTCAGGCTATTTGACTCTTGGCTTAAAATGCTCCTCCTACCCTAAGCTGGTATTTGTTACTCATATCTCTATTCGAATGTGAGTTCATCCACAAACATCATACATACTAAAGTAAGTTAAAGATTCCTAAGGATGGGGGGGGCATAGATATAAAATAATTATGTTATATCTATATCTATGTCTATATCTTTATTTTACAAATGAAAACATTGAGACAAAGAATTTACTTAGTTTTCTCAAGGTCTTGAAATTAGTTGGAATCCAGACCTAAGCAAACTCCAGAGTATATATTTTTTTCCACTTCTATCTTAAATATACATTCCTCATAGAAAGGCCCAAAGATAACTGCCTACTGACTATGCTAGCTAGGATGTGAGGGAGAATTATTCAGATCAGAGGGCTGAAAGTTATGAGCAGAAGGGAGAAGGGGAAGGGACAAAAACAAGGAAGGAATATGTTTTGTTTCACACAACCAACAGATCCGACGCAGGAACCTGCTAGATGTTTTAACTGATAGCCTTTTGCATGAGCCAATTTGAGACACTTTGGAGCTGAGGGCTGCACCAAAGCCCACCTGAGTAATCCTGAAGTTATGTTTAGCTCACTATAATAGTAAGATTTATTGCTGTGGATGAGGTTTTCAGCCATTTTTGGAACAATCAATGTATGCACTAGCATGCTAACAAGACAGACACATGTAACTCAACCAAAGTGCCTAATTAGTAGCATATGGACTCATTATCTTTGAAAATGAAGCATGGGAGCAAGAAAGGGCAAAAAATCAGACTCGAGAGGTTTGCAAACCTTGTGAAGGAGTTTGTATGTTATCCTAGGAGCAGCTGAAAACCCGTGGAAGGTTTTAAGCAGGGGAAGAGAGTACGTATATATTAAGTTTCTTAATGTGTACACCAGCTCTCTACCCACACCCCCTAATACACTGAATAAAAGCTTCCTGTATTAATCCCACAGGGAGATGCTGCCTTGAGGGCTATTTCCCTGTCTTCTTACTTGTGACAGATGTTGCTTCAACACTTCCTTGGGTTGTGTTCAATTTAATGCACCCCAAGCAGTTATACCCTTGAGTTTGTTCACAACTTAAACCTCAAGTTACATGCTTTATACTGTACACTTACCTTCTGTTAGGTTACTAACAGCATCTTCATACTTTTTGTCTTGTAATGCTTTAATGCCTAAACCAATGAAGCCTGGACCACTTCTGGAATCCATTTCCATTAATCTGCAACAATACTGCTGTCCTTCATCAGTAAGACTGCCTAGAAAAAAAAAGAGAAGTTATTAGCATACATACTCCAAATTTCCAATTGCCTAAACTTATATACTTTAAGCTCAAATGCTGTCTTACACATCCTCTAACATATCCTGACTCCAGGAATTCGAAACTTAAGTAGACCAACAATACAAAAAAATACTAACATATCATTAAAAAAATTATGCTTCTTCATCTTCTTAAATATTGGAGGTAGAAACCACTTTACCTACTGTGGTATGGGTAAACTGAACCTAAAGTCAGGCTCAAACAAGAAACCTACTCCTACTTGCCACTGCTCTGAGACACATAGCCTCCTGCTTGCCAGCTCTCCTTTTCCTATTCCACAGTAACTTCGCCAGCCTCTCTCCTTGGGCAACTGTGCTGCTAAAGATGTAGCAGCCAGGATGTCAAATTGGGTGGATTCTTCCAGAATCCTACGACCAAAAGACAGACTACTTGTCAAGATACTGTACAAAAACTTAGTTACATTTTCTTAGGTTTACAAGTTCAGCAGTACTTTTCTGCATTCTTTCAAAAACTTTCTTTTCCTATATAAGTTAATGGTTAAACCTATGTAATAGTCATCCAATGCCTACATTTGTTTCAAATTTATTTTGGTAAAATAATTTAGTTTAGAAAACACTATTTATTTTGTTATGTTTCCGTTTTCTCCAAACTCAATCTCAGGATTTCCATTCCCAGAAAAGCACAAAAACAAGTAGAAAATATGATTTCTGCTTTGAGAATAAACTGTTAAGAGTACTCAGCATTTTAATAAGTTGCTTAATCACATAGGAAAATTCTTAAAAACTAATTAAGACAAATTATAGCTTGAAGCAGTAAATACGGAGAACAAATAAAAATAATTTGTTTGAAAAAGCAGGTTGATGCTTTACTATCTATTTAAAACTTGTGCTCCCAGACCACGTGGGGAACCACTCTTTCAGTCTCAGATGTCAAAGATAAATTCCTTGCATATTACCATTTAGGTTATACATTTCAAATTTTTCAAAACCAGATACACTCCAATGCATAATCTATGATATTATACATTGATTTATAAATCCAAATTAGTACCAAAAATTCAAGGAATTCTTAATGGCTAAAGAATTAAAACTTCAATACTGTTTGGTGAGCTTTGAAAACAAACTGGAAGAAATACTACTTTTCTGAGTTAGCCAGTAAAAAGGACCTCAACCAACAATTATTATGCTTCTAGACATGAATTACCTTCTGTCAATATGTTCTCACTATGGCCTCCATAAATGTAATTTCCAAAAGCAGACACACCTAGTAACATACACCCTCCTCTTCCCAAGCAAACCAGTGTTTTTTTTTTCCCCCTTCCTTTTTCAACCAGTGGTATTGTCTCAACTAGACATCAGAATCACCTGGAGAATGCTAAGCCCCACTCTCAAAGTTTCTGATTTCAATGTCAGACCTGAAAGCTGGGACTTCAAAGAAGTTCCCAGATAATACGACTGCTACAAGTTCAGATACCATATCTGAAGAACCACAGGCCTATAGTATTTACCAACACCATATACCGCCTTTATTGTTAGTCTTATATATGCACTGCAGTTAGTACCTCTACAGCTAAACAGTAACTTCTGGAGGGTAGGGACTAGCATGGCATCTTGTACGCAGTAGGCATCCATTAAATACTGCAATGATCCTTTAAGAATACCATTATGAATTGATGTACTAAAAGGCTTAGTCTATTAATAAATAATGCTTGAGAATTACTATGGAAAATTAAAAACATCATTCTAAAAAAGAAAACAAAATGGCTATTAAAATTTTACCTTCAACTTCTAGCTATGAGTCAAAACTATCTTACCCCATAGAAACGTAATTCCTAAGAGTCCCTTGGCTACATAAACCACCCTTATTATAGAAAACACACCTGTGATGGAAAGAAAAGTCAGTCGTGCGTCATCCCAATGATTACCCATACGCAGGGTACCTAAAAACTCACACAGGTAGACAAACGGGGGGTAGGCAGAGGAAAACTGTTTCTAAAAGGCTAAGATGAACATGAAAAACTTCTAGATAAGATAAATCTTCCTTACTATCTGGGAGCACAATGACAGAAACCGAAAGAGATTTGGAGAGCCAATGTTCTAGTCCTTGGGAAATGTACTCTCTACATACGACCAAGAACAAATGATACTTAGAGGAATCTTCTCTAGTGTTCCCCAAAACTGTCAAGTAGTAACAACATCACTGATCCTTTGTAGAGACAAGGGATATTCCAAAGCTTCAGTTTTCAATCCTCTTCTCCAGATTAACTCTTGCTGAGAACTCATACTAGCTAAATAGTATGTGGAGGATAGAAACAGAGAGGAAATAGAATTGATTTCTTTTTCAATAGAAAATCATTTCTTTAATTTACCTGCTCTTTTTAAAATTTAAAAGATTCTAAGATTCCAGACTTAAAAACTTTAAAACAAGTTTGACAATATTATTTTTGTCTGTCAATAGGCAAGCTAGATTTGGGGCTGATGAATGCTAAATCTCTAAGAATGAAAGGTGTTCTGAAGAGATTCAGGGTAGATGCCAAGTAATACCCCTGAGAATCCTGTTTCCTAAAGCTTACCACAAAAAAAGATGATTTTTAAAAATAGCTAATTAATTGCTGACATCACAAAGAAACTGATCACTACTGTAGAATTTTTCTTTTAAATAAACCTAGCCTGGGGTGGGGGTGGGGGGGACAAAACAGCATGTATTCATTTTTTTATTTTCATCTGGATTTTCTAATATTCCAGAGCACAAAATTATAAGCTCTTTCATGTTTGGATTTGAAGAACCAAGCTTTCTTATTCTCCCCATTTCAAATATAAAGCAAAATAAAATAACCCAAAAAGGTCATTTAGCATGAAATAACATTTCATCAGCTGACAACCGTGAAAGCTATTCACTACTGGTTATGTGAAGCTTTATAAACTGACTCATTTTGAAAATGAATCTTCAAGTCTCAACATGCAAAGGAGGACAAAGGAGAATGAAATACATTTGTTCCCAGTGGAAGAGAACCCAGTGATTAACTGCTGTGAAGTAGAAAATTCTGCAGAAACTAAAGCACGCTGGGGGAGGATAGGTCAGCCTTTAAATACCTTATAGTTTCAGAAGTTCTTCATACACAGAAAGTTTGGTTTAAAGGAGCAATGAAAAGAAAAAGAAATCATTAAGCACAGCTTCCTACTGTCTGGCAGTTTAAGTGTTTAACTTTTACCCCCAGAATAATGCTTTACCTTAGAAAGTACCTAAGCCTGATCGGCTCCATCCCACAGATTCTCACAACAAATGATTCCACAGAAAAAAACCCTCTTCCTTGGTGTACCATGTATGTAAATATCCACCTACCTACTCCCCTTTACCAGGATATAAAGCTTTCTTTCTTTCAATTCTGCAAAATACCCTCTCCAGGAATGATTATTTTCATATAAACCAACACACTCTCTAATCATCCAGCATAACCCATTTGCTATCTGTATATTCTAGAATGCATTGTCAAATACTTAATTCATGTGCAAAACTCTACAGACTTTGTTGGCTTAGTTTCTTCTATAATTTTGTAGCTGTTTTTTGTTTTTTTTTTTTTTTTTAATATGGGGACCATACTTATTCAACAAATCCACATTATAGGCATATGTGTGCTAACTGATAAAGGACACAATCAGTCCTCAAAAAGAAATTTCAAGTATCCTCTTGTGTCACTTGGCATGGGACCAGGTCAAAAATGAGGGAACGGATCATTAATAGCTGAAAGAAAATAGAGAAGAAAACGGTAACACCGGCCATTAGTTTCTCAACAGCAATTGTAATAGTAGAAAAAGGGTGGAGGAATGGGTACCAGAGACTAATTATGAAATCAACACATTTATCTTGGGAATGTAATGGGAATCATATTAAAATTGGGAAAAACTAGATGAATCTTGGAACTATTCCCTGTCAATGGGGGAAAAAAACCCACAAAAATTCACAAGCCTGCTCCTCATTTTGAAAGTCTCTTACTATGTCTCATCCTCCTTGACCTCAACATGAAGTTCACAGTGTTAACTAGCCCTCTCTTCTTGAACCTCTCTTCCCAGGCAACACTACCACAATTCTTCTACTCCTCTAAAAGCTTACCAACCCCTTTGCATGCTTCTTCTTCCTCTCCCTTAATTGAAGCCAGCCAAATCCCTGGATTATTGTTTTAATACCTGCTACCCACTTCTTCCTACTCTTTTCCCATCACTGAAATCTAAGTTCTAATTCAATCACTTCAGTTAGAAAATACAGCCCTAAAAAAAAAAAAAAAAAAAAAAAAAAAAAAAAAAATTTCCTCATTTTTTGAGGTTAGTTGCTCAAACTGTCAGTACAGATCTCCTTTCTGAAATGCCCTTTTCTTGCCTTCTCTGTTGCTTCATATCAGGTTCCACCACCTTCCTGTCTGACCTCTCTGCTTCTCTGTTTCCTACTTTCCTCTTTCCCTGCCCTTCCCTTCAAGCCAGCCAGCACCACCCAAGACATAGTTTTCAGCTTTTTGCTCCCTAGTCATCCTCTGAAGTCACCCACTACACTTCACTTGGATCTACACGCAAGTTATTTCCAAACCTTATGTCTAGCCTTAGTACTCATCTCTCACCTGCAAGCCAGACAGGCATTTCCCTTTGAATGTCTACTAACCTCTCCTCTCCACAACTCAACTTTCTTACGGATGATCATTCCACAGTAGGCCAACTCTTCAAGAGAGCTAAAAGTAAAATAATAATCTCCCTCCCTTTACCTCTTAACAAATCTCTTCTAATTTTTTCATTCACCTGTTACTTTCTATTGCCACTGTCATAGTCCCAGTATATTCATTCACAAAATCATTTAGTCTACCCAATCTAGTCTACTTTCTATACAATCTATCCCACAAACCCTATTAGTTTGACTTTATACTTCATAAATTGATTCACTACAACATTTGGTATTTCTTATCTCACATTAGTAAAAAGTACTCTCACAAGTCTATCTCTGACTCAGTTAAAGTAAAGGGGATCCACTTACTTCTTACCAAAAAAACCCAACTCTTAAGATAATAGTGAATTTTAATTCAGACACAGCGTCGGGGGGGAATACAAGTAGGACTTAGAAGGGAAAGCTAAAGTGGGGAGAGCCAAGGTAGATGCAACAATACTTTTCCAACAGGCATTCTCCCTCCGTTACCTCTATCACTAGTTTTCAACAATTTTTCTATTATGAAACCTGCGATGGTCATTCACACACAAAGCATTCCCAGGTGTATATTCCTTTAGCAACAAAATGAAAACAATTAAATTGGTAAAGCTCTGCAAAATTTATAATCATTAACACATCGGTGCTGGTACTGTTGATCTATTTCAATGACTGATTTCTGTGAATTTTGTTCATCAGATGAATACAGGCATGGACATGAGCGACGGTTAAATTATGTAAAAATCTATTCAGCACAGATACTGACAAAGAGGACAGAGGCCAGTGTGAAAACCATGGAGGTCAATCTCCTGTAAACTAACTGAACACCAGCCCTGGGCATGCGATATCACAGGCACAGGTTCTGACAACTCCCAGCATGCTAGCTGTCATCAGCTCTCTCTCCTCCCCCCTCCAAGAAAGAACACAAAGAAGAGCACCAGGCATAAACTTAGACATACACTCTGACTTGAATCTGCTCTATTTCATTAAACAAGTAGATCCTTCACAAACTTCGTTACTTTACAGTACCACAGCATCTATAACCATGAACTTGTGACACTGTAACATCAATGCTGAGAATGTATGACATTTATAGCCGTAGGCAAGATAATTCAACTTACTCAACCAAAATCCATCTTACTTATTCCTTCCACTAGAGCAAATAAAACTATTCTACTAGTCCTAAAAACTGCAGCCTAGCTCCATAATTCTGCTCATGCCATCTGCGTACCTTTCACCTCTTCCTGTTTATCTAATTTCTGAGGAAAATTTAAGACTCTCTTCAATTCCTATCTTCCAAAAGCCTTCACTGATCAACAATGAACTCAGTTATTCATTATTCCTCTGTATTATTATACTTTTCTACATTAATTAGCCTCTTCATGTGCACAAAGATAACACACTGTACTTCCTTGTATGTCCAGAATTATTCAAACAACACCTTACACAGGGTAAGCACTGAAACAATTTTTGACTGATAGCAACAACATTCCCATATGTTCATATACCTCAAGAACATACAATATAATAGGGAAGAACTTACCTGATTCAATTAAATGCAAACAAAGCACTTCTAATGGATATTGTACAGTAGGATAGATGTTTATCATTCCTTCACAGGCCTTCTTCAATCTAGCGGTCTCATGAGGAAGCTCGAAAATATAAAAGTAAAATAAACTAAGTAATAGTAAAATATGCTTGTGAACACCTTCCTAATTACAATGTAAAAGTCACATTAGAGATTTTTAAAATCAACTTACTTTGGATAAACAGTGAATGAACTGTCTATAAAGTACTTGGTGATCTTCACTAGGAATCTTATCTGATAAGTCCAGTGCATTCTCAAAAGCAGCTAAAAGCTGAAACAAACAAAAAAGCTATCATCTTTAGCATACTGAAATGACAAATGTAATAAATAGCTGAATGTATATGACTCACTTATACAATATACCACCTCAACTAACGAACTGCAAATGTATTTTACTATCTCATGTTTTCCTGTACTATATATTGTCTGGACCTGACAATTTTTTATGAGGAAAAAAATGTCTATGCATTTAGAATACAATCTAATTCCATCTGGCAGGAGACTGCACTGAACTAATGAGGGATAACTTAAATTAGTATCATGAATTTAACAAAACATTCTTTAAGTGGTCACTGTTCCCTAGGAAGTAGTCAACTGGAGAGGTATAGTCTTCTTTATATACCTGTGTAAGTGCAACTAATCAGACCATTTTTAAAACATCTCTACTGAAATCACCAGTATGTTCCTTGGAATATTTTCAGTGGTAGCAAATCTTTAATCTTAAATAAATTTGTGAAGTTAAACTTTTAAAAAGGAAACCAGAAATATGACTGAACTATAATAAAATCACTTCTTATCCAGTATTACTAAATGACTTTGAAGAAAATTCCAAAAGAAGCTTTCTAAATATGTTTTGAGCAAGAACAATACTAAAACCCAGATCAAGCACTTTAAAGAATATCATTCATTTAGTTACACAAGTCCTACTTTTTTAAAAAAATGAATTTCCATGACTTCATTTATTTTTATTTTTATTTTTTAAAGTAACTCCATGCCCAGTGGGGCTTGAAATCATGACCCTGATATCAAGACCTTAGCTGAGATCAAAACTTGTATGTTTTGACAGAGCCACCCACAAGCCCCTCCATGACATTGAAATGAAAACTCATAGTTCACTGCCTCCAAATTTCTTTATGAAGTATGATATAAAGTCTACACAAATGAAGAAAATTTTACTCCTCTGATAAAGTTAATGACCTTGCAAAAAAGGAAGCCTAACGTATGCAGTTTAGCACAAGGGTTTCAAAAAATAGTAGTGCAATCAATCCATCTGGAAATCAGGTGACATATTTTTTCCTGAACACACTTAAATAAGCAAAATTATCATTAGAATTCAAGATGGAAATAACTCCACCCCGAAATCCTCTTACTATTTTTAACAGTTAAAAATCAATTCTTAAAGGGGCGCCTGGGTGGCTCAGTGGGTTAAAGCCTCTGCCTTCGGCTCAGGTCATGATCCCAGGGTCCTGGGATCGAGCCCCGCATCGGGCTCTCTGCTCAGAGGAGAGCCTGCTTCCTCCTCTCTCTGTTTGCCTCTCTGCCTACTTGTGATCTCTGTTAAATAAATAAATAAATTTTTTTTTAATCAATTCTTAAAATGACAAGCATAATTAGTTCTCTTTCATGGAGGAACACAGAACAGGTAATTAAAAAAAAATTACTTATTTTGGCATTTGGTATATGTTTGATATTCTGATAACCTATAGTTTTTCAATGAAAATAATGAAGTCATGTGAAGATATGATTTAAGTTTGCAATTCACCTAATCTTGTCACTGTCCAACTTTTTTCCACAACTAAACCTATACACAGATAAACCAACACACAAACAAATGCAAATCATAGTCTTCTATTTTTATCTTCAGCATTTATTTAGGACACTGCCTGACATGTATAATAGAGTCTACATAAAACAAATATTTTCTGAAAAAAGGATTAATAAGTGAATGAATGAACAAACATACAAAAAATGTACTTCTTCGAAGTACAAAAATGTACTTCAGTCTATAATTGCTTATATTCAAAAAGTCCATCCAATTGCACAAATATACACTGAATGCCTATATACAATAATAAGAAATTAAGCTGACTTTTAAACTTACAAATATAAAAAAGTAGAATGGAGATATTTTTTAATATTATCCCAATATATTTCTAGATATAAGTACCCTAAATAAATACTTTAAACAAAATGCTCTGAGTTGCTAAACTTCAAAGTAATTTAGTACTCTTACTTCATGAACTTAAAGAAACATACCTTTACACATACCTTTAAGTAAGTACAACTTTTTAGAAATTACAGCAGTTTTGTGAAAGCCAAGTTCACGTTTCTTTTTCACAGTGATTAAATAACTGATTTACTGGATTAGTATGAACCCAGGGAAGTAAACTGCGATCCCTGAAAACCAATTCCACTCTGTCCAGACTTAGTATGAGACTGCAGGGAAATAATTCTGACTTTAACAGCAAGAACCGCTATGAATTTAAAACTGAACATGTAGGGGCGCCTGGGTGGCTCAGTCAGTTAAGCATCTGCCTTCAGCTCAAGTCATGATCCCTGGGATCAAGCCCCACCTCAGGCTCCTCACTCAGCAGGGAGTCTGCTTTTCCCTCTCCCGCTTCCCTGCTTGTGCTCTCTCTCTTTCTCTTTCGAATAAATAAAATCTTTTAAAAACACATAAAAAAATAAATAAAATAAATTGAATACTTACAAAATATCAATTTTAACATATGGTACTTTTCTATATTATTCTATTTCCATTTGCTAAATTCGATTAAATGATCAATAATATTCATGATACAAACTGCAGGGAATAAACAGGTCAATACCAATTGCTGGGTCTCATTATTCTGATCCTTAGTACTTTCAGCCAGCAACTGAGTCAATTTCTTCCACAGCTGGTGAAGCTCTTGGCTGTCTGCACCTTCCTCCTGCCGTGTCTTTATCAACTTGTGCCATGTTCGGGCCACCTATCAAGGAGATTTAAATTTTTTTTTATCTTAAATATCAAAAACACCAGTTAGAAATATAAAATCTACAAATAAAAACATTTTTCATCTGCTAATACATAAAAATAGCAAAACCACAGAACTTCGTCTATTATGAACTCCACAAGAACTATGGTGACTGGGCAAATGCAGACAGCCATTCTATTAGAAGTACAGCTAATGTAACAGAGTGGAAACAGAAATAATGACTACATGCCCCAACCCTTGTAACTATAGCATCAGCTACAGATGCACCACAAATATGTCACTAAATTCTACAATGATGCTTTTACTTATTTTATTTATCCCTGCCCAGTTTCAAAAAGGTCTGGAAGTTAGAATAACTAAAACCTGAAATTTAATTTAGTTTCAAAACACTATAATTTGTAATATCTCTCTATATTCTTTTAATATCACACTACATACTAATTGTTTAAATTTTCCCTTAAGCTAAATGAAAGCTTTCTTCTAATAATGGCTTTAGTAAAAGAAGTCTACTACCCCACCAAAACATTAACCAACCTCTACGTGTTTCTTTTCTTGGTAATATAGATCCACAAGTTTCTTACAGACATCGCACCACTTCTGTTTGTCAACACTTAGAATAAAAAATTAAAAAAAAAAAAAAAAGGATTTTGAATCTGATTAATGAAAACAACCAAGGGCTTAAGATACTAAAATTACAATATCCCAATAATACTACTGTCAGGTACTATTTTAAATCAGAACATATCCTCTTTCATACCACAGGAAAATTTTATAAAATAAGCCTCTCATTAAAAAAGAGGTTTAAGAAATAATATCTTCCATCATATTACCTGAAAATTATATCAAAGTTCCCAAATTAGTCAATCCTCTTACTATTAGTGTTTTGATTTTATTTCAATCACAAGCAAAAGATTTTGTAACAACAGTATGAAAGAAAAATGCTTCTCAATTCCCAGTAAATGTTTGGAGTACTTCTATGGAAGTTTTAATCAGTTTATTCAAATTAAAGCTTTTAAAGACATTGGCCTTTCCCCATACAATGATTACCTTTCATAAAGATCCAGGAGCTTCTGGTAAACACCAGGCAAGTCATCCTTAGCATTTATGTGGTTACATTTCTCATATAAGCTTGCTAACCCCTAAAATAGGAAACAGTAGAGATTATTCTAAAAAGTCTAATGCTCTCACATTCATTTTGCTAAATAAAGTGACGATATATAAAGGTTATTTACGATAAAGAAAATTATAACTTAAAAATAAAATAATGTCTGGGATTTGCCTCCAAATAATTAGGGTGGGAGAAAGTAGATCAAAGCATAGATGAAAAAATACTGGCCATGTGTGGATTTTTACAGAAGCTAGGTGATAGCCAGAGGGGCTCACTTTACCATTCTCTTTACTTCTGAAAATATATTTGAAGTGGGGCATCTTGGCGGCTCAGTCGGTTAAGCGTGCAACTCTTGATTTTAGTTTGGGTCATCATCTCAAGGTCTTGGGACAGAGGCCTGAGTCAAGCTCCATGCTCAGCAGGGAATCTGCCTGATTCTCTCTCCCTCTTCCTCTGCCCCTCCCTGCTCATGCATGTGTACAAGCATGCACTCTCTCTCTCTCTTTCTCTGTCTCAAATAAACTGGTCTTTAAAAAGAGCTTTGAAAATGTATTTGAAGTGTTTCACAACAAAAAATCTTACCTCTTATTACTATATGACACTACTTCTATATGGTCAAAAAAAAAATCTAAGTATTTTGTAGAAACTGTCATCTTTGCTTCAAAGAAAGATCAGGTATCTTAAATCAATCAATACATAATAAAAGCAGGCATCTCTCTAGGTGTGTTACCAGATACCCCCTCTCATGTTCTTGTTCACATAAATGTGAGAAAAACAGGTTCATGTTCTCCCAAGCCTACTGCCTATTAATCACAGTTTCTAAGACGTAATTGAGATATGAAACAAACTTATTAAAGATGAAAAAGCTGGAGAAGCCAACATAGAATATGAAGAACTTTAAATAAGAGAAAAGAATTTCACTCAAATACATAGATTTGCAGATTTTTTATATCTTACCTTTAGAAAACATATTAATATGCATTTCTTTTCCCTTGAATAAGCATAAGGAATATTCTTGGTAAGTCTTTCATATACACACATAATTAGAGATTTACATAATCATATTTGAATTCCAATCCTCACCTCTGAAAATAATCCATTGGGTTGGATGTCAAATAATGTTAAATAGCATCACAGGCATTTTTTTTTTTAACTAATAATGTTCAGGTTTAGAAGATCAATACATTTAAAACTTTTTTCTTCTATGGGGTAAATAATAGTTTAAATGACTTTTTTAAAAGCTGCTACCTATATTTTTTTTAAATGTGGCAAAAATATTACCATAATACAGGGGAAAAAAAAAATCTACATACCTGCCAAGCCAGTAATTGATCTGGCTCTAGTTCAGCAGCTTTTTTATAGGCACCCTGAGCCTGATCAGGTTGTTCTAATTCAGCTGCAGCAACACCAATAAAAACCCAGGCGTTATAGTTATTTTTCTCTTGTTTTAACACTGTCTGGCGGAAAAAAATTAAAAGAACGGGTCATTAAATTTTGAAAGCTAATGAACAAACAACTAAAAGACTACTTGAGTGTTAGGAAATCTGGATCTACCACTAACTGGGCGATCTTAAGAACACCACTCAACCTCTCTGGTCTTCAGTTTCCTCGAGGAGAGAAGGAGGTGAATTGGATTGATAATTGTAAGGAGTCTAAAATATGAGGTATATATTTTAAAAGCTGCCCAAGCAATGCTGATGCCTCCCCATCCTCCTTGAAAATGAAAATATTATGTATAAAAAGAACACTAAGACTATTCATATCACCTGACCATCTTGCTGCCTCCACTCCACACTGCCACCAGTAAACTCACAAAACTGTTTTCTCTATCGTTTCACTCGAATCAACACCCACATTGTCCTGCACTGTGGTAACATTTCCAACTATCAGACATATTTTTCATCGAAATAACAAGGTAGGGAGGTAGACTGACCCCAATGTGACTATACCGCATATGTTCAAAATAAATAGAGGCAATGAATGTTTAAATACCACCTGTCAATGAGAATAAAAATTATATGTAGAGCTACTGCTTTCAGAAAGAACAGGTACTCGCTAAAGTGAAAGTCTGAAACAGAAAACTAAGATTGTTCTAGTGACAGAAAACAAAACTAATAGCTAATTAAATCTAGTAGATAATTAGCTCTTAAGATTTTACCTATTCTAGGGAAAATAAGAATATTTCCATGAGCTGTGACAGTCAGATTATTGTGTTTCTATGCATCCACATGACACTTTTAGACATCTCTCATCATTCTACAACACAAATTCCATTCTATCCAACAATGTTTTCTGCCAAAAAAACTAACAATGTGGTAACTACCAAAGCTGACAATTGTTTAACCACTGATATGTCCAATTAGTTGACCCCCCTCTTATTCTACTATCGCCCCACTTCTCAGTTCTTATCCCTCCTTTTCCAGCTTAGATTCCAATGACCCATCACTGTCATCCCTCTCTTGCAAATATCCTCAACTCCTTCACCTCTCTTCTCCATCATCTTTCTCAACATCCATACTTGAACCCCAACATGCCCATTACTAAGCTTGAGAAGCTGAACATGAAGGGAGAAACCACACAACTCAGTTCACTGATTTCACTTCAATAACATGAAACTTCAGATGGACATTCAGTAGGGCCCGGCAGTCCTTTCAATCCCCACTAGTAAGTTAAATAACAACTACTTCATACCTTTTTTTATCTCAAACCTCCTATACAATTCTTCTTCCACTCTTAGCTTATGCCTTACTAAAAAAATAGAAGACATCAGAGGGGAACATTCCTCTCTTCCTACCCCCAAATCTACAAATCTGACAGTATTTACACCTATCTTCCCCACTGCTAAGATGGGAAAAGTATCAAAAACTCCACTTCGGGGTGCCTGGGTGGCTCAGTGGGTTAAGGCCTCTGCCTTCGGCTCAGGTCATGATCTCAGGGTCCTGGGATCGAACCCCGCATCGGGGTCTCTGCTTGGCGGGGAGCCTGCTTCCTCCTCTCTCTCTGCCTGCCTCTCTGCCTACTTGTGATCTCTATCTGTCAAATAAATAAATAAATAAATCTTAAAAAAGAAAAAGAAAAAGAAAAACAAAACTCCACTTAAAGCTCAGGATCCCAACCTTTCTCATTCCTATCCCTACACTCTCTCTCCTCCACATTCAATTTCTCCCTCTGGACAGGGACATTCCCCTCAGCACCTTACAAAGGAGCTTTAGAATCGTGAGCTCCCATTCACAAACCAAACAGAATGATAGTGTCAACATACCAGTAAGAAAGAAAACTTTATGATACAGTAGTGCTCCATAATACGCCCCATCAAAAGATATCTGATATTCATATTTTGAGAGTGTGACTTTGCGTATGGCCAGTGTAGTTTATCCTAGCACAACCACTCTAATGGTCTACTAAATAATCTAACCACTTTCATTAATGTTAAGACAAAAAATGATACACATGTTACAAATCCATAACGCTTGTAAATGGGTAACATAATTTTACTGTGGAATAAAAAAATGTATCAGTTACCTTACAATGTTTCAAAGCTTCTTTGTATTCTTTGTTTCTGATTGCATCTCTAGCACTTTTTAGAGCAGTTTTTACTTCCTTGCTAGACATTCTGTAGAAATAAAAAGCTTGAGAGAACCTACAATAATACCAACAAACTTAACCATCTGAAAAATGCACATGTAATTCCTTCTACCTGGAATACTCTTTCCACTCTAAGATCCCGATACTGTATTCCCTCACCTCTTCAAATTTTTAATCAAATGTCACTTGCTCAGTGAAACCTTGGCTGGTCACACTACTTAAAATTTCAACCCTTCCTCCCCCCTCAAACCCAACTACACAATATTCTCTTAACCCCACCCTAACATTTAGCATCTTCTACACTATATATTTTACTTATTTTATTTATTTCCTGTTCTCCAAACCCACTAGTATGTGAGTGCCATGTAGGCAGGGTTTTTTGTCTGTGGTTGTTATTGTGAACTGCTATACTGCCAGGGCCGAGTATCTAACTGTATACATTAATAAATATTTGTTGAAAGTAAGTTGTATTTGAGTTATACTCATTGTTCATATAGTAGATGATTTAAAAGGCTAGGATTTAAAATACATATCAATCTCAACCTAATTCTACATGAAGCAAGTTTTAGTAGAATAAGCCCAAATCACAAAGTAAAAACACTAACACAAATTAATTTCAGTAACTTTGATGTAAGAGCATAGGAAAGCAATCTGCTTTAATGCTCGTTTCTATAAAATATAAATCAGGATATTAACTTTGTTCACAGCAAAGGTCACTGTCAAGTTATAGCAATACTGTATTCTTTGAAGAGAAGTAAATGCAAAGTTTACACTTGAATGAAGGTGATAAATATGCTAGAGGATTATTTCTACAATAAGAAGATATTTCAATTGGGAGACAAAGTATTTCTTCATTGAACTTAAGCTATGTTAACATAATTTTAAATAAACTAATGTATCGTAAGATTTTACAACTTATTCTGATTTACCAGTAAACAAGTCAAATTCAATCACACCTCAATGGTGAAAACAGAGACACTTGTATTTTTTGACAACTTCATTGAACTCTAATCTCATCAGGAAACAAATCTGGGTAAATTTTAATCCATTCTAGACTGCAGACGTTCATGGCAGCAAAATGAACCAAGAAGATGGCTTGTTGACTCAGTGTACTGATGTCCATTATATCCAAAGAGGCTGAGGTACAAGGGCAGATCAAAGAAGTTTAAGAAAGTAGGGAAAGGTGGCTGGGTGGCTCAGTGGGTTAAAGCCTCTGCCTTCGGCTCAGGTCATGATCCCAGAGTCCTGGGATCGAACCCACATTGGGCTCTCTGCTCAGCGGGGAACATGCTTCCTCCTCTCTCTCTCTCTGCCTGCCTCTTAGCCTACTTGTAATCTCTGTATGTCAAATAAATAAATAAATAATTTTTTTAAAAAGTAGGGAAATAAAATAACAATAATAATAAGTGTCTTGACTTAAAGAATGTTAGATTCATGGGGCGCCTGGGTGGCTCAGTGGGTTAAAGCCTCTGCCTTCGGCTCAGGTCATGATCTCAGGGTCCTGGGATCGAGTCCTGCATCGGGCTCTCTGCTCAGCAGGGAGCCTGCTTCCTCCTCTCTCTCTCTCTCTGCCTGCCTCTCTGCCAACTTGTAAAATAAATAAAATATTTTAAAAAAAGAATGTTAGATTCAAAATAATAAAAACATTAATATATAAAATCAATTTATTTGCAGCTACAATCAGATTCCTTAAATAGGCAGAAAAGTAACATTTTGCTTAGTTACATTAATTATACAATTAAAGCTACACAGTTCATATGCTCTTATTTTAGAAATTGTTCTCTTACCTGAAATTATCTTCGTATAAATTTATAGCTGCAAACGTCTGGATTTTTTTTTTTTTTTTTTTTTTTTGTAGCTTACAAACTGATGAGCAGGCACCAAATTTCAATGCTGATTTCAAATTAAATTTTCTCACACCAAAGTTATCTTGGGTAGATAAATCTGTAGACTACAAAGAAGAGAAATAAAAAATCAACAGTGATAACAACTAGGGTCCCTGGGTGGCTCAGTCATTAAGTGTCTGCCTTCAGCTCAGGTCATGATCCCAGAATCCTGGGATCAAGCCCCAAGTCAGGCTCCCTGCTCAGCAGAAGTCTTCTTCTCCCTCTCCTACTCCCCCTGCTTGTGTTCCCTCTCTCACTGTCTCTCTCTCTCTGTCAAATAAATAAATGAAGTCTTAAAAAAAAATTATGGTGACAACTAATCTGGACCAATAGAAAGGGATAAAAAAAGACATCCAAGGGGAAAAATTAAGTTAAAAAAGAACAAAAACAGTTTCAAGATATGACCAAGCAAAAACAAACAAGAATTCAGATTAGTGAAAAGAAAGATCACCATCTTTATCACCCAGGATTTGAGTGGAAGCACATTCAAACAAGGCAGAACCAGCCACCACCAACTGTACATGCAACCCCCAAGCCATGCACTTCATATGACATAAAAGAAATAGAAAAGGCGGCTCCTGCTCTAAAGAATATAATTTAAACCAAACCTAAGAGATACGAGTCATTAGAGAACCAAATGCTGAACTAAGGATAATGAGTACAACTGCAAGAGATGTTTCAAGGAAAGAAGTATGGTGTGAGGTAATGAGGAGATACCAGAAGACAGGATTTAAGAATGGAGGGAAGAAGGAAAACTGCTCCAGTCAGAAACAACTGCATTAGCTAAGACAGAGAAATAGGAATGAACGTGGCATGCGGAGGATTCAAGGAGAAATGTGGGCTCCGTGAAGCAGAAGAGACTTGCTGAAAACAGAAGAAAATGAAGCTCACTGGACAAATGAGAACACTAGACTACAGAAGACGGTAAAAGTCAGTCATACAGGGATGCCTGGGTGGCTCAGTCAGTTAAACGCCTGCCTTCGGCTCAGGTCATGATCCCAGAGTCTTGGGGTCAGGTCTCACATTGGGCTCCTTGCTCAGTGGGGAGCCTGCTTCTCCCTCTGCCTGCCTTTCCGCCCGCTTGTGCATGCTCTCTCCGACAAATAAATAAAATCTTTAAAAAAAAAAAAAAAAGTCATTAAGAAAAAAAAAGACACACAGACAGGTGTAGACTTAAATACAGCAGCAAAAACAGAGCTGTTAAATGCCTCTACATAAGTTATTTTTAAAGACCACAATAAATAAACTCCACTCTTTCCTTGGTAACCAACTAATAATGTTCAACACCCTTCCATATCCCCAGATGTCTCCACCTGTAATGGCAATTACCCTTGCTGCAGTGGGATCTTCTATTCCTCCCCTCCTATTCCTTCTTCATTTGATTTGGCATTTAGCATAAGAGGCTAGCACTTAGGCCCTCCCTCTACACCTAACAATTACACGACGAGAAATATACGGATACAGAAATAGACACTATAGATACATAGAGACAGATCAGTTTTAGGGGATTAACTAATTTTTGAAAAGACAAAATAATCTGCCCCTTTCTAACTCTAAAAACTTCTTTCTATTTTGGGAGATGGAGTGGAGAAGAGAGAGACTCATTCATTTACTTTCTAAACATAGCTTTCCTATGTACTAACCTACCAGGTATCCTCAAACTCACTTCCTTTCATAGAGCAAAAACCTACGAACAAAAATGATGCACCTCTCTTTGGGACACTTCCCTCTATTGCAAGCATTTCCAACATTTCAAAGAAAAATCTAGCTCTTTTACAAGTGTCCTCAATGTTATTCCACAGCCCCACCCACTTTCCCCAGATAATTTGTATTTTTTCTCCTCAATTTTGAGTCATTTTTTTTAAGATTTTATTTATTTATTTGACAGAGAGAGATCACAAGTAGGCAGAGAGGCAGGCAGAGAGAGAGAGAGAGAGATAGAGAGAGAGAGGAGGAGGAAGCAGGCCCCCTGCAGAGCAGAGAGCCTGATGTGGGGCTCGATCCCAGGACCCTGGGATCATGACCTGAGCTGAAGGAAGAGGCTTTAACCCACTGAGCCACCCAGGTGCCCCATGTCATTTTTATTTTTTCAATAAGAGCACTTATTTTGTACATTTTCTTTCTTTCTTTCTTTCTTTCTTTCTTTCTTTTTTTTTTTTTTTTTGAAGATTTTATTTATTTATTTATTTGAGAGAGAGTGAGAGAGAGAGAGATAGCACAAGTAGGGGAAGGGGCAGAGGGAGGAGCAGACTCCCCGCTGAGTGGGGAGCCAGATGCAGGGCTTGATCCCAGAACTCCAGGATCATGACCTGAGACAAAGGAAGACACTTAACTGACTGAGCCACCCAGAAACCCCAGTTTGTACTTCCAACTCAGTGAAAGGATTTCTACTACCAAACTAAAAGGGTCTTTATGCAACATAGCAAGCATAAAAAGTAGCAACAACTGCACTTAAAAAAAAGATAGAAAGTGACACACATGCCAAAATGATAAATCGCAAAAGTAACAAATGCAGGCGGATGAATTACTATGTCCTACTCGCCCCAGCTAAAGCTATGGAACCTTAAGTTACATTCTGTTGTGTAGATACAAAGACTCCACAAAGCAAAAAAACCCAACAATATAAATAATAATAACAATAATAACAATGGAAGTTAACTACAGAAAAGCAAACTATGGTACGTTTAAATCCAATAACAAAAATCTAAAGGTGTTTGATGACCTATAGTCTGGCATTAACAACCTACACCATCACACCCTTCTTCTGAAATGAACTGGTAAAAGCAATTACTAAGTAAAAACAGACTCCAATTACCTATTACTTAGGATTCTAGACACTTACCTTTTACCTATTATCTTCTTTCTTCTTTTTGAATTGAATTTCAGATTGTCCCTTAACCATTATTCATCTAAATTAAGCAAAATATGAGAGGCAAATAAAAAGCATGATAAACAGCCCAAAACTCAGTGAATTTATTAACACATCAGATTCAGGTTTAATTTTCACAATCACAATTTAAAACACAAGAAATAATTAGGTACAATTTTTCATCTTTTTTTCCTAAAATTTCCAAATCGGTCTGTGTTCCCATAGCCTCAGATAATAAAAGAAACTTCCATAAGCAATCAGAAGAAGTTCCAAAAAACATTCCAGAAACTCAAAATACATAAACTTCAATATAAAAAAAAAAATGAGCCAAAAAAGGGTATCAACTATTTCTATGCTACTTTGTTATGAATCAAGGACAATCAACAGTACTTATTTACTCCCTATTTGCAGCCTAACTACACTAAAGTGAATCTGTTTTAAACCATAAAAAGAATTATAAATATGTAAAATGTTGACCACATCATGTAACTAGATTAATTTATAATCTATTGAAAAGAGAGAAAACTTTCTTTAAATGTCAAAAACCCAGCTAAATAACCATCTGAAATATTAACACAAATTCTACATAATATAATCCTAAGTATCTTTTGATGGGATCTCTGGAATAAATTCTGTCAAACAAAATTAATCTAGAATGCTTCATGGAGAGAATGGAAGCAGTTCCAAAACACTGAATAAAAAATAGCAATGCCGGGGCACGTGGGTGGCTCAGTGGGTTAAGCCTCTCCCTTCGGCTCAGGTCATGATCTCAGGGTCCTCGGATGGAGCCCCACATCAGGCTCTCTGCTCAGCAGGGAGCCTGCTTCCCCCCCCACCCCCGCCTACTTGTGATATCTCTCTCTCTCTCTCTCTCTCTCTGTCAAATAAATCAAATCTTTAAAAAATATTTTGAAAAATAGCAATGCCACTTAAACTAGGAAATGAACAAAATTTAGATGAAGCAGGTGGAGATGGACAAAAAAGAGAAAGTGAGCTTACTGGACTAAAACATGCACTGGCAATATACTTAAATAGAATGGTTAGTTCCAGAGAAAAGGATCCAACTGTTAAGGAAAAAAGTACCTTTCTACCATCTTTCTATGCTGCCATAATGGTGCATGCGAATGTACTGGAAGATGTTCTTAAGGTCATTAACAATGCGGAAAAGCGAGGCAACCACCAGGTTCTTACTAGGCCATTCTCCAAAGTCATCAGCCAGTTTCTAAACCAAAATGCTGAAGCATGGTGACACTGGCAAATTTGAAATCACTGATGGTCACAGACCTGGAAAAATTGCTGTGAGCCCAGGGGCAGGTTAAACAAGTATGGAGTGATCAGTCCCAGATTTGATATACAACTCAATGATGTAGAAGAATGGCAAAATAATCTGCTCCCATCCTGCCAGACGGGTTTCACTGTGCTGACCACCTCAGCTGGCATGACGGACCATGAAGAAGCAAGATGAAAATACACAGGAGGGAAAATCCTGGGATTTTTTTTTCCTAGGGATGTAATACTTACATGCAAATAAAATGCCTCAATGGAAAAAACAGTACTTTGATCTAAATAATGTTTAAGAAAGTACAATAAAAGTTAAAACAAGGTTACCCTTGTTTGGAGGGAAGGTAAAATGAAAGTGAAAAAACTGACTCTATTCATTACACTAACTTTTTTAAGCCCCAAACCACCCTGATGGTAATTAGTCACTTCAACTCTGTTCTTAAAAAACACCCCAGGTTTTGTCAGCCCCTTCGCTCTGCCATACCCACCCACCAAGCCAAAACTTGAACATGTTCAGAATGTGCTTAGGAATCAGATACATCTAGGTTCAAATAGAATCGGAATTTGGACACCTTACTTCACTACTCTAAGCCTATTTCTTCACTGGTAAAGTGAAGATTTTATCACTTACTTGATATCCACATAAATGGAGTGCCTGAACGTAAGACACAGTTGACCCTCACACAACATGGGCTCGAGGTCCACTTATACGTGGATTTTTTTCAACCCTCTGAATAACTTCACTACTTTTTTTTTCTATTTCTAATCCACATGGTTACTACAAACTTTCTCTACACATTTACAATCCCCAATCCCGCCTTCCTTAATCTCTCAAGTAGTAACCTTCTTGCCAGTGTTCTTCAAAAGATGGCTATCATCACACAAAAGTACCCTCTTTCAATACGTGAAAAACATTCCAGGGCAAATCCTGTAAAAGAGACCACTCCAGCCTCTGAACCAATGGAACATTAGTTGAGTTATTCAATTTAAATTTAATCGATAATTTTTACCATGCTATATCGATATGCCCTGTCTCTCAAGTCAATAAAACCCTAAACAATTGTATTGTATCTTTGGAGTTTCTTACATGTTCAACACTAGAGTAATATGTACTCAATAAATGGCTGATTGTCCAGCTTCCAAAGCCTACTCTAAACATTCAGCTTCCCCACTGCCAAAAGGCAGTAATTCTCAATCTGCTAAACTGAGAAAGGAAGACTCTCTTTTTGAGTATCAGCTCACACAACTTTTTTTTCACTGTCCCCCACTACTTTCCACTTTACATTTTTGCCTCTCTTATTCAGCCTGGTCACACTGCTTCTATCTACTCAAATGGTACACATAACTGAAAGCCAAATTCAAGCGTCAAGCATAATACCTTCCCAGATGAATCTACCTACTCTCAACTTCTAACACTTTCAATTTAAACCAACATTTCCAAAAAACATTCCAAGAAACAATAACATGCTTAAAGGTATTAACACACCATCTAGTAATTTTGTGAATATTTCACATATATCTCACTCTCTTCTAAAGTCATTCTAAATGTATATGAGCACTCTAAAAGCTCTGAGGAGTCCTAAAGATCCAAAGATAGTTTAACCTAGCATTTGTAAAACTTATGTTACTACGAATATTTATGTTAATGAATGGCAATTAACATTCTGAAGCCACATCAGCATTTTCCAAAGTATAATTTGGGATGTTCTGATTTTCTTTTTGTATGTTTGGCATTTAACTATATTTTTAATGTCTTTTATACTGTTATTAAATTTACAGGGGTGTGAGTGTGTTTGTTTCCCACAACTACACTGGAAGTTCCTTAGGAGCAAAGACTACTTCTATTATTCTCTTTTATTTCCTGCAGTGTCTAGTACATTGCAGATAATCAACAAATATTCACAGAATCACAGCTGCTAAAGACAACACTGAATTTCTTCCACATAGTCACTAACTTCACATTTAGCCTCCCTCTCCTAAAGCAGAATATAGTGCTGTGGGTATACTGGACATTAAAAGAACTATAAAGAATCAAAATCTATCCCAAGACCTTTCAATTGAAGATCTTTCTAGACTGCAGTTAAGTATCTCACAAAAGCAAGCAATCTCTAACATACAAATCTTTGACTGATGATTTAAATGTACATGTAATAAAGTGCCTACCCTCAATGCAACACATACATAGGCATGAACAAACATAAAGATACACACAAACACACCTCAAAAGTACCTTTTCAGATAATGATTAGCAAAAATGTTTTATGTCCAGAAAAGAGTGACAAAAATAATGAAGTAACCTGCAATTATATAATTAGCAAAGGAAACTGGGAAAGCCTTGGGTGGGGGGGACTGGAGGAGGAGGAGGCGAAAAGGGTTGTTGAAAAGGGGAGATTACTCACATAAAAATAAAGAGAAAGGGAACAATGAATGATTAAAAGTAGAGGGAGACAGACCTCAGCTCAAAATAAGAACTTTTAATAATCAGGCATGGCAAATGTGGAATGGGCTACTCAAAGGAAGTACATGCCCATCACTAGAGATTAAAAAGCACAGACTGGACCATTCACTTGGGAGAAATGTTGTAGGACAAACTGAATGTCAGATGGGTAGTAGGACTAGAAGCCCCTTAGATTCTTCCAGTGCTATGTCTCTGGGGTCTTAAAATACCCATCTTCCTCCAAATCACTGCAGCACCTGCTTGCACTGACATGCCAAGGAGAAAGAGAGCGGAGGAAAGGATGTGTTCCTGTCATTCTGACTGGGAACTGAGAATACAAGCCCTGTGAAAACAAAGCCAAAGAAAGTAAACATAGTTCACAGAAATAGTAGCAACACCACAGATAAAGTTGGACATAGCTTCACAAATCTAAAAGTCAGTTAACAATGTTTTTATGGTGAAATGATTTCCACACTCCAAATTAACTCAAAATACATTTTTTAATCATAACCTGATCACTACGTAGCTTACCTACATTATCTCCCATGCTATAAGGCTGCAATGCCAAGTATGTTAGCTTTGTTTCCCTAGAGTTTAAGTTCCTTGTGATCAGGAACTATTGTTCATATATTTGAATCCTCACAAAGAGCTTTAACACATTTCTTGATTAAGAATTTGTCTACACTAAGAGTTTAAGCTCATCAGAATGTCATAAAATGTTATTATCAACTAGGGACAGAGAACTGTAGTGAGTTTAGGGCACAGACTACTAAAGTTAAAGTCCTGCTCAGACTGGGTCCCTGTATAGTCTTCGGTAAATTATTTAACCTGCCCAAGTCTCAGTTTTCCCATTTGCAAAATGGTCAAAGTAAGGATTACAGAAAGTATTAGAATTGAGTTGATTTTATGTTAGGTTACAGCAACTCCCTTTTCCTGTCAAAATATTCACATGACTAACGTGATGAACAAATTATGTATCTGAAACTATGATAATGAAATGAGAACTTGGCTTTGGGACAGAAATCGGCTTCTTCCAGAACCCTCCAAAGTAGCTCAACAGTCAAGTGGGAGCAATGATTTTCCTGCAGCCAAACAATGATATTCTGAACCTGTCAATTAACCGAACTCATCACACAGCTCAGTACGTCTTCCCTTAGGAGCCTGTTTGGTTTCTCACCTTTGCACTCCGCGGACGAGATGCACCTAAGCTCTTCCTAGAACATGAAACTGACTAGGCCCCGTTCCTCACTCCACCGGAGCACGATAAACCCTTCCTGCACTGACAGTAAGATGAGGCAGGCTAGAAATTTCTTTGGGGAAATGTATTCGAGGAGCCCCCCGAATCCACACTGCACCTGAGACGGTCCAGCCAGAGGCCCCACAAAGAACCGCCCCACCTAACTTAAGTGACAGACGTGCTGCCACCTCATCATTGCCCAGTTCACGGTCCTAATACTCGGCCATGCTTGCGCGGCACAAAATGACCAGCCCTCGCCCCTGACCTTCTCTCTCTGTAGGTACCATTTCAACCACGTATTGGCTCCAACTTCTGCAAAAGCTACAGCGACCCTAACCCACCTGGGACAGATGCTTCGCCTCCAAACGCCAAGGCTGGAGTCCGAGCGCATGCGCATTCACCAGACATCGTTCACGTGACTGCAAGTGACTGAGTTTTTAGTTCGCTCGGTATTTGCTTAAAAGGTCTTAACGTGATTTAAGGCCGGGAATTCCTCCCTTTGCGCATGTGCGTACGCCCAGCCTGCTGGGAATTGTAGTTCTATGGGAAAAGCGCTAGGAGAGTGTGATCCCCGCCCTCTTTCCAGAGGCGTTCCTAGAAGCAGGCGGCGGGCCGAGCGCCGAGAGTTTCTGAACGGCTCCTTGCGATGCTGCTCCTGTGGGTGTCGGTGGTCGCAGCCTCGGCGCTGGCAGCACCAGACCCCCGGGCAGGTGGACAGAGACGAGGAGCTGCTCGGGTTTGGTCCGCTGCACCCAACGTGGTGCTAGTCGTGAGCGACTCCTTCGTAAGTACCGAGAAGCAAGAAAGTGGGTGTCCCACTCCAGACTAGCAACCGGCCCCCAGCTTTTCCTGTGCTGCAGGCTTTGAGGAGCAGAATCGGAGACTGCCTAATTTATCCTATCCCGATGCAAAGTAAAAAATGCATTTTATTTTGAGGCCCCGCATACACCCGTAAACTGCGTACATATAAAACAATAATCTAGTAAATACAATGTATCTGACAGCACCTTTGCATTTTTTTTTTTAATGCTTGCCTCGACCCACTAATTTTATCACTACTGATGCACTTTAAATCTGTACCCCGGTTTGAGTCTATTGTGGGGGAAAATAACATTCTGCGTCTTCATAAAAGCATGTTAGCTTCCCAGGGGTCATTTCCCACTTCAGATTTACAGGAATTCATGTTTGGGTGAGAAACGAAGAAAGTTAACAATTACTCAGGTATCTGATAATCCTGTTAGTGCTGATTTAAGTGCGTTAGTTGATGTAATTTGATTCACTCCCTCAGGTTCCAAGTGAATTGTGTGGGTGTGTTATTGTGGTTTAATCACAAACTGGAACAGGCTTTGGAACTTTGCCAAGACGTCATCCGAAAGAATACTTGTATCAACATTACCTGAAACTTCTAGTATTATCCGTGATTTAAACACTACTGCTTAGACAAATGTTCTGTTATGAGTTACAATACTAGTTTATTACCACTGGATGTTACTTCGGTCACATAGATTGTTGGTGTTAAGCATGTCTGCACCAAAAGAGTACAAATCACTGTTCTATTGCCTTTCTCATTGATTAACCTGTGATGATTAAAATTAGGATATGCCCATCGGACTTGTTGAGAAAATTATTCAAAGTAATCTTTACAATTATCTAAATTAAGGGAACAAACAGTATTGGAGATCAACATGAAAAATTTTCTTAGGGAGTGCTCCTGAGATCAAAGGGAAAGGAAGGAAGGAAGGATTGTGCAAAGAGAGAGAAATTGAGTTTTGTCACTATCTCAATAGAAGCCTCCCAGCTGACTTTATGGGTAATTCTCAAACAAGTTTGATGCTTCAGAACTGTTTCCATTTGGGGTGAGGGGGCTAGGGCTTTATACTTAATGTTGGATGGCCATTAGTTGTGCACTGCTCCCAGAAAGAGGCAGGATTTTGGGCAAGGAAACTCTCATTAGTGGAGGCATTCTTTCATCCCTAAAGGTAATTTGGGTGGTGTATCAAAGCATCCTAGGAACTTCCAAAGATGACTGAAATATTTTGGGAGGTTTGCTTTTTTTTTTTTTTTTTCAGTATAGTATGAATACATAGGTTTTTATATATTTGTGTTTAAATGCTTTGCAATCATTTTACTTATTGATGTTAAAAAATGTCCCATTTTGGTTAGTGAAAGACCCTCCAGGTTGTTCCTAAGTTTTTTTTAATCCATTCCTAATAATCTTCAGCAGCTTACTTTGATAGACTTCCCTGTCCATCTTGTGTATTTCTTGTCCTATCCTGTGTTTTGACTATAATCTAGGTGTTCCGATTTTTCATTGCTTTTAGACCCTTTCAATGGACAGATCTAGAAAGTACATATATTAGAAAGATAAAGAAAACCTGAGATCATGTTGATAGTTTCAACTCAAATTTAAGATTACAAGGTTATTAATACTTTGATTTTTGCTCTTGTATCTCTTTTACACCAAATATTTTGGTTGCTAACTATAGTAACATGATTGTTTGGTTTCTTTATCCATATATATGGATAAATATATATATATGGATATATATGTTAAATATATATATTATGTATAAATATATTTATACATACTAATTTTATACATATTTGGATAAATGTATATAGTATATAAACATATATGTAGCAACTTAGGGCCCCAATCACTCTTGCCCTAGCTCACTAGTAGGGGAAAGGTTCAATGCCAGATAAGACAAATCAAAAGACTAGACAAACTTCTGCAAAGCAAGCAAAAAGAAAGAAATAATAAGGGTTGGAGCAGAAATTGATATCAATACCTAAATACATTTTCTTATTTTATATAGCCTCTCAACACAGCTGACATTTCCTGTCACCTTTCTCGACATACCATTTCTCTCAGCATCATGGGGCTCGATCTCCTCTATCATCTTCCTCCCTTGCTGGCCATTCTCAGCTTCCCATCACACCTCTCCCCTTATCTGGGACTCCTCGAATTCATTTCTTTCCTCCCTTTTTACTGTCTGCCTGAAACATTTCTTTCACTATCACAGTTTTAAATACCATGAATATGCTAAAGACGCCCATGTTGATTTCACCAGGGTAGACTTTCCAAGCTCCAGATTCCTGTCTGTGATCAACAGCCTACTTTATATATACATTTGGAAATCTCAGACATATCAAGGTTTTATGTATATCCCAGATTTGGAATAACTTATTTTTAAGACTGTATTTTTGTTTATAATTATATTGAAAATATAGAATAGATATAACTCCAGGCCTAAAATATTCTTTTTTTCTGTCTTTGCTCTTTACCGAGAACAGTTCTTTAGTTCCAAAATGCATATCTCCAGCCCAAACACCTCTTCTAATATTCAGGTTCATTTATCCGGTAACCACTGACCTCTTCTCTTATGTCCGGCCTAAAGAACTGCTGGATCTTTCTTACCCTTTAGGTCTCACACTTCCCAGAGAAGCTTTCCCTGTTCACTCTGTGTAAAGTACATCTCCTTTATTATTCTGTATTTAGGGGTTTTTTTTCAAAGCACATATCACAATTTGTAATTATTAATGCTTTATTCTCCCACTAAGCTCCAAGGATCCAGGGACTCTGTTTTTCTCACTGTTGAATTTCAAGATCTTTCACAGTACCTGGTACATAGTAAATGCTTAATAAATATTTGTTCCATCAGTCCATCATGCCCCAGAAGAACTTTCCAGAAAGTCATTTAGTTTATTTACTATATTCAAATGAATCCACGTGTAACATTAAATTCTTAATATTATAAGCTAGTTATAGGTAACACTCTTGAAACTCGTTTTATTTTTTGAAGATCCTTGGGATCATCTTGGAGTCTTTTCTACTTAACAAATTTTATGGTTAAAATGAAAGGAAATAATTTTCTTCTTTTCTAATGCAATCAGTGTTAATTAAATTTCTTTATTCCAGGATGGAAGGCTAACATTTTATCCAGGAAGTCAGGTAGTGAAACTTCCTTTTATCAACTTCATGAAAGCCCATGGAACTTCCTTTCTGAATGCCTACACAAACTCTCCAATCTGTTGCCCATCACGCGCAGGTAAGAACATGCTTAATATTAGTGGAAGTGGCCACACACGTAAACATGTTCTCACAGTTTAAAAGATTATACCCAAAAGTACAACAGTAAGTTATATTTGTCATCTAATAAAAAAAATTTAATACAAGTGATGCATATTTTAAGCCATGTATTGGGGTTATTGGAATTTCTACTTTATTTTTCAAGAGCAGGAATTTTTATCATCCAAAGTGGTGTTTAGTTCATGTCTTATTGTTTCATTTCCTTATGACTGGTGACTAAAAGTCTTTTGCCTATCCAAGCAAATGAGGAATTAAACATATTTCCTGGAAGAGTTGTATCTTCAAGAAAATTTTCAGTAAGAGTAGAGGGGATTGGGAGGGAACTTGAAAGCATACCACAAAGTTGTTAGCATTTTCATACGTCAGGTTACTCTGACTTTTTCCATATTATTTCAGATTATAGACTTTATCTGTTTCTCTTCAGTCTGACTTCTAGCCCAGATCTGTTTGTTCATCTTTATTAGTGTAATCCAGGCATAGTTTTAATGCCAAAATGTCAGCAGTATTAATCCATCAGTAATGGAGAAGTGGGGGGAAATGTCATTTTTAAAAATAAACTGTCTGTTCTCTGACAGAATTATTTTCCTTCCTGCCTTTCTAAAGTCTGTTTGCTTTGGAGTACATAAAACACACATCTGTCAGGACATACATGACATGATCTTCCCTGTGATTTGAGTCCCAAGTCCCTTAACCACCAGCATAATCACCTATGTAACCGCTAGTGAGTAAAGGAAACTGACTACCCTAAATGAAATTTCAGGGATGAAGGCCCAGGGATATTAAAATACTTTTGTTTGTTTTTTATTCCCTATTGAGCAAGTGAAATGAGCAGAGCACTCGGGTGAGGTGTTGTTCTGGATTCTTATCCTCAGTGGGCCAAGCAAGTCCCTCAGTTTCCTTATCTACAGGGTTGGATATCTGCCTATCCTTAGATATTTGCCTATCTGTCTATTCCTATCTATCTCGCAGGGTTGTTCCCAGCATCAAATGAAATAATGAATAAAAAGGTGATGAATGAACTCTAAAGGTTTCAAATATGTTAGATGATGCTTTTCCTAGAACTGTATTTTGGAGAGTTTGAAAAAAGCAAAGGAATAATAATAACACAAACTAATGCTTGTTGCATTCTTACCCTGTGCCTGGCAATATTCTAAGTGCCTTACATGTCTTAATTTATATAATAATAACATGTCCATAAAGTAAATATTGTTACTGTCCCCATTTTGCATATGAAAACAAAAGTGCTAAAAGGTTAAGTAACTTATCAAAGGCCATTCAGTAAGTGGCATTATTGGGGTTCAAACCCAGGTAA